CAAAGGCCCTGGGGCTCCTTGGCCTGAATTTCCACGGTGCATTCGGCTGGTACCTCTAATCTGATTGGTGAGGGTTTCTGAGCATCGCCTCTGTGTTCCTTCAAACCTTCCGCAGGAGGCTGTTCACTGTCCTCCAAAACCCAATCTTCCCCGTTCCCTTTCAAATCCTCGATGAGCTTTAGCCGATGACTTAGAATACAACTCTCCCCGCAGCTCCTCTGGCGGCCAGGCAGGTCCGGTAACTGAGATGCAGAAGGACGTGATCGGGGAACTCCTGGGTATAAACTCACAGAGGACGGTGGGTCCGGGCCCTCTCCTCCCGTCTCCATCCTCTGGCTGGAACGATGCCTGGAGGTGAGCCGTCTGGGACCACACAGACCAGGGCCAGGCCGGCCGTCAGAGCCACAGGACGGAGAAGCCGGGTTTTTTATTGCCCTCATGAAAGAGAGCTGCAGACTGTTACACAGCGAGAAAGAGAGTCGTCTTATTTAAACCACAATTATTTCAGATCCCTGTTATTCACGTCTCTTAATCAAAATATTAACGCCCTGGCCGGTTTGGCTCGGTGGATAGAGCGTCAGCCTGCGGACTGAAGGGTCCCAAGTTGGATTCCCGTCAAGGGCACATGCCCGGGTTGTGGGCTCGATCCCCAGTGGGGGGCGTGCAGGAGGCAGCCAATCAATGATTCTCTCTCATCATTGATGTTTCTATGTCTCTCTCTCCCTCTTCCTTCCTCTCTGAAATCAGTAGAAATATTTTAAAAAATATATTAACAGGAAGCCCTTCTCAGGGCTTACAGACAGACCCCTCTCCAGGTTCTGGAAGTCACTCCCTCCGCTTGTCCCTCAGTCTGGGGGTGTTATGCTCCCCCTGCCACCCCCCCCCGGGTGCTGCACCATCCCTTGTCCATTTGCCCACACCCTGCACCCCTCAGCTCCCATTCCCTCCTTACACTCGCCTCCCCCACCCAGTTCCGTGCCATCGGCCTCCTCCTGGGGTCTTGCTACAGAGTCCTTGCCCTCGAAAGTCCCAACCTGGCTGCCATCTCTGGCCCCCTGTTCAGCGTGTGCCCCCCACTGTGCTGTGATCCCGGCGAGTGCAGGGACATGGGGGCCCCTGCGGTGTCCCCAGCAGAGCGCCAGGCACAGAGCAGGCCCCCAATGAATAAAGTGAATTAAAGAATCCCAGGGGCCCTGCCGGTGTGGCTCAGTGGGTTGGGCATCATTCAACCAAAAGGTTGCCAGTTGGATCCCCGGTCAGGGCACACGCCCCCGTTGCAGGCTCCATCCCCAGTAGGGGGCGTGCAGGAGACAGCTGACCCATGCTTCTCTCTCTCTCTCTCTCTCTCTCTCTCTCTCTCTCTCTCTCTTTTCTTTATATTTTTATTGATTTCAGAGAGGAAGGGAGAGGGAGAGAGATAGAAACATCAAAGATGAGAGAGAATCATTGATTGGCTGCCTCCTGCACGCCCCCTACTGGGGATCGAGCCCACAACCTAGGCATGTGCCCTTGGCCGGAATCAAACCCCGGGACCCTTCAGTCCGCAGGCCGACGCTCTATCCACTGAGCCAAACTGGCTAGGGCATTTCTCTCTTTAAAAATCAAATTTTAAAAAATCTTTAAGAAAGCCCTAGCCGGTTTGGCTCAGTGTATAGAGCGTCGGCCTGCGGACTGAAGGGTCCCGGGTTCGATTCCGGGCACATGCTTGGGTTAAAGGCTGGATCCCCAGTAGGGGGTGTGCAGGAGGCAGCCAATCAAATGATTCTCATCATTGATGTTTCTATCTCTCTCCCTCTTCCTTCCTCTCTGAAATCCATAAAAATATATTTAAAAGACAAACAAAAAAATAACAAAATAAAAGACATGACAACTCAATATGTTTGAATTCTGAGTCAAACAAACCAATGTAAAAAAGAAACCTTAAAAATTTTTTTTAAATCTGTAAGAAAAATAGAAGAATCCAGGGGCTGGAGGGAGAGAGAAGCTGGTCCCTGCCGCCCAGCTCCCCCAGAGTTTGGTGGCCTAGCAGCTGGGACTCAGGAGGTATAGCAGGTTCCCAGGACCCTGCATTCCTGCCCTGCGGCTGTCGCTCCCGGGAGAATCGGGCCTAAGCCGGCAGGCAGACATTCCCCGAGGGGTCTCAGACTGTGAGAGGGCGCAGGCCGGGCTGAGGGACAACCCCCCCAACCCCAGTGCACGAATGTCGTGCACTGGGCCTCTAGTTTAATATAATTATGATAAAAATGCACAGAAGTTAATATAGTGTATATAATTCTAATAAATTATATGTTAAATTATAATAGAATACAACGGCCCTGTGAACTAGGTCCCATTACTGTTATTGTCCCCATTTTCCAGACGAGGACATTGAGGCACAAAGAAAAGAAATCTTCCTGTGAGGCCGCCCCCCCCACCCCCCCACCCCCCGGCAAATCATTTAAGTCACTCCCATGCTGACTCCCTTGGACACCTTCATCCAGGTGGGGATCCTGAGGTTTGGGGGTGAAGGGACATCTGTAAGGTTTTGCATCATCTCGTCCACGTCCCGAGCTCTGGGGACACCCAGCACTGAGCTGAGCCCTTACTCACCCCACCCCCTACCCTCCAAAGCGTGTCCCTGTCCCCTGACCTCAGCCCTTCCTCGCTGCTCCACCCCCTGAGCCTCAGCTTCCTGCCCTGGGCAATGGGAGTGACACTGGGACAATGGCGGTTTGAATGAGGCTGTGACTGGGAGAGCCCAGCCTGGCATCATGGGCTCCATAACTGCCAGCTGCTGAGGGCACCGTTCGCACAAACTCGTCTCCCAAATGCTCTTGGCCGCCCTCATCCCCAGCACTTCGCTGCGTCACACCTGCCCCCACCCTCCCGAGACAGCCCTCTGGGACCCCATCACCCTCCAGCAGCTCCCCCTCTCCTTCAAGGTTCTCCAACGTGTGGCCTCCATGCCCTGACTCAGTTTCCCCAGCTGCCACTCCCTCCTCACTCTGGACCAGCCTGACTTCTGCCCCCACACCCTCCACCCAACAGCTCTCCTCAAATCCTCAATCCCGGGGGTCCCTTCACCCTCCTCCTCCTCCTCCACCTGCCGCAGCCTTTGACCCTGCGGACCACGCCCTCACTCTGGAAACCCTTCTCCGGGTTTCATGCGCCCAGGTCACCACCTACCTCTCTGGCGGGTCCCTCTCCATGTGCCCCTTAGAGGTCGGAGCCCCTCAAGGCACTGCCCGCGCCCCTTCTCACTCTGCACCCTCTCCCTGGGCAGCCCTCCCCCTCCCAAGGCCTGGTGACACCTCATGGTCAACAAATGGCAGATCTCCCTCCAGGCAGCCGCCTCCTGAGCTCCAGGCGTCCCCTCCCTGGCGTCTCTGGACGCCCCACAGGCACCTCGCCCTCAGCACGCACCCCCCTCAACCCAGCGCCTTCTCCACGCCTGTTCTTCCTACCGCGCCCCCTGAGCCCTTACTCACCCCCCCCCCCCCAAAGCGTGTCCCTGTCCCCTGACCTCAGCCCTTCCTCGTTGCTCCGGGCCCAGAAAAGACCTCACTCTGAAAACTCCCATCGCCCCTCCTCTCTGTGCCCAGAAGCTGAGGCCATTCCCTCTCTGACCTCCGGCTTCTGCTGGAGCTGAGCCAATGGGGCCGCGCCGGGGCGGGGGAGGCTCCAGCAGGAGACTGGTGGGTGGGAGGAGTAGGCTGGGGTGTTCACTCTGTCCCCCTTCTCTCCTGGGCGGGGTCGGCGGGGTCTGTACTCTGGAGCCACAGCCACAGCCACAGCCTCGGCGGTTCAGGGGACTCAGCTCACACGCTGGAGCTCAGGGTGGCCACTGCTCCCTCTACTGGCCGCCCCGGGTACTGCGCCGTCCCTCTTGTGTCCACGTACCGTCCCTCCCATAAACTCTCCCTGGCACCGTCTCTTTCCCGCCAGGGCCCCGATGCATTCTCCCTCTCAACCACCGCCTTCTCCCCACCTCCCTCCCCACCACCCGACTCCGGGACCCCCTCCTCTGCTGCCCCAGGTCCCTCCCGGGCCCCCCAGCCTCCGTTCTCACAGGTAGCCAGAAGGAACGTTTGAAAATCGGGTATCCATGGCCTGCCCCACTCCACCCCCATGAAGTCCCTTCCAAAGCTCCCCTTCGCTCTGAGGATAAACTCCAAGCTCCTCAGCGTGGCCGAGAGGATCTCTGATCATTGGTCCTTTCGAGGTCTCTGCACTCCCCACGCCCGCATACTCCGTTCATGCTAACCACTGGCTCGAAAAGGCTGGGGGTTCACAAGTCCTCCCCCCTATTCCAGCATTCTGAGAAAGTGACTTGCTTTATTCGGGGGGAACTCCCATCAACCCCAGCTCCTGCTCAGGCAAATCTGAGTTCCCAGGATGCCCCCTGTAGAGGAATACTTTGTTGCTGATGGATTAGGGAAGCTCCGGGCCAGGAGTGAGGGCTGGCTGGGGGGTGGGAGGGGGGCTGTGTGGACCTTCTGGGTGGCTGGTTGCATGTGGGTGTGTCCTGCAGAGGGGGGGGGGGGGCTGGAAAGAAACCCAGATTTCCTGGTCTACTTCACAGCTGCGGAAATCCCAAAGTCCTCATTCGCTCCCTCCTCCTGCCTCCCAACTTCTCACCGGAAGGCCGTTTCCCAGGCAGAATTTCCAAGTTTTATGGCAACTTTTACAGAAATCACAGAGAAAAGAGACAGTGACTGGTGCTGGTGAGCTGGGAGAGGAGAAGGGGAGTGGGCGACAGTCTGGGATGCTGGGCCGGTGCACAACAGGACGACCGGATGCTAAAAACCCGTGGGAAGGGGGCGGGGGGTGACGGGGGCTGCGGGGTCACCCTCGGAGCCCCAAGAAGCGGGCCGCACTCCCCACGCCCCAGGTATGTCCTTTGCGCGGGGGAACATCAACAGTAAGAAAACGCGGGTGGCCTACCAGCAGATGGGTGGCCCCCAAAGTTAAAAATGCCCCCCCCCCAGCCCAGGCCCCGCCCTCCCCCCCCCCCCCGTCCCCATCAGGCGGAGATGTGGCAGCATGTGCTGGCTTGTAGGTCCTCTGGGACCCTCGGTCTCCTCTTCGAGGGTCCTGCCCGGGTTGGCTGGCACTGAGGGCACGATGAGCCGTCCGGATTGTCGGGGGGAATGGCTGGACTCCCTTTGATTCCCGGCCTCCTCCCCTAAGTCGGTTCTCATGGCTGGGGGAGTCTCTGCCCTCTCCAAAGGGAAGTCAGCCACCCCCCTTTCCCCAAGACATGCACCCTCCCGCGACCCCTTCCCCAACACACTATGTACACACAGGCCCCGTCCGGGGCGCGGCTGGGCTCTCGGAGGTAGTGGACGAGAGCGGGGCGCTGGAAGGTGAGAGACGGCAGGTCCCACAGGCGCCCCCTCCAGCTCTGAACCCCGACTGCTCCCCTCCCTTCTCCAAGCCTCGAGAAAGAGCGCGCTCCCAAGGGCCTGAGCGGAGAAGCCAGGGAGGTGTGGCCCCCTATGCACGCCCTCCCCTCCCCCCTGCCCTGGGGGCTGAATGGCGCTCCCTGAAGGTGGGGGAAATGGCTGAGATCCTGGATATCCTGGGGTGGACCCGCCTCCTTCAAGGGCCCCAGGGAGGGCGAAGTTCCGAGGCCCTTCCCCTGGGGGGGTCCTGGGGGGAGTCAGGGCTGGGTGTCTGGGGAGGGTCCCTGAGGGCGGGGCTTCGAGGCGCCCCCCCCCCCCAGGGGTGTGGACGGGCTGGAGGGGGTACCGAATAGGAGGAGGGCCTGGGAGGCTCGCGAGGGGAAGGGAGGGGCTGTCGGTGGGGCCCTGGGCTGGGGAGGCGGATTCCCAGGAGGCAGGGAGGCCGAGTCCGGGCCGGGGAGCGCGCGTGTGGCCGTCTCGGGGGGAGCCGAGTCTGGGGGCGCTAGAAGCCCCGAATGTGGCAGTAAGCCTCGAGGCTGGCGAAGAGGATGTAGAGGAACCAGAGGCCGAGGAAGAGCGCGGTGGTGGCGATCTTGGGGCCGCGCGGGCCGCCCAGCTCGCCGCCGATGTGCGGCCGGCGCCGGTACAGCAGCACGGCGATGCCCACGAAGGCGAAGACGGTGAAGAGCGTGACGGAGAAGGCCAGCGTGCCCGTGCGCACCTCGAAGGGGCGGCCCTGCACCGCCCAGTACACGGCGGCCACCGACCAGGCCACGCCCAGGCCCAGGAACACGTTCACCGCGTTGGAGCCGGTCACGTTGCCGATGGACGCGTCCGCGCATTGGTCCTGCAGCGCCGCCACCTTGCTGGCGAAGGTGTCTGCGGGCAGAGACACGCGCGGGTCACCCCTGGTCCTGGCGTGGACCCGTCCCCTCGCCTGCTGCCCATTGGACACACAGCCTCCCCGTGCCCCTGGGTCGCCCTGTGACCCAGGCCCGGCTGGCGCAGGCCCCGCCTCCCCCCTCCCCCCTGCAGCCCTGGGGGCACCCTGTGGTAGGCAAGGGCGTGAGGCCCTGATCCCACCCAACAGGGAACGTCTGTCGCCATCCCTATGCCTGCTCTTCAGGACCAACCGCCTGCTTCTGTAGAACTCGCTGCCCGATTTCCCTTGGACTCGCTTCCTGCTTTCTTTGGGGACTTGCCTATATTCACTGGGATCCACTGCCTGCTTTCTTTCTTTTTTTTAAAAAAAAAAAAATTTTTATTGATTTCAGAGAGGAAGGGAGAGGGAGAGAGAGATGGAAGCATCAGTGATGAGAGAATCATGGACCGGCTGCCTCCTGCACGCCCCCCAAGGGGGATCAAGCCCACAACCCGGGCATGTGCCCTGACCGGGAATGGAACCGTGAGCTCCTGGCTCAAAGGTTGATGCTCAACCACGGAGCCACGCCGGCCAGGCCTCTGCCTGCTTTCTGTGTGACCCGTTGTCTCTTTCTGTGGGACCCGGTGCCCGCTTCCTGTGGGACGCAGCCTGCTTTGAGGGACTCGCTGCCTGATTTTCGTGAGATTCGCTCTGCATCCTACGGAGCCTGCTGCCTGCTTTCCACCGGCCCAATCGGCTCATTGCCACCAGGCCCGGTCAGGTCAGTGCCAGACTCCACCCCGTGCAACCCCTTTCCTGTCCGCTCCCCACGTGGTTTCTGTCAAGCAGGGGCCTGGCCTCTGCGGCCCCACCCAATCCTGAACGTCTGGCTAACAACTCAGGCCTCTGGTCTGGAGGGCAGGCTTGGAAAGGCCAACATTCCCCAAGGGCAGCACCACCACCTGGCTGGTGACCACAGCGATGTGGAAACCAAGGTTTCGGCCTCCCCACCCACCTGGCCTCCCTCCTCCTGCAGGAACTTGAGTCTCTGACACCCGGTGTTGAAGGGACTCTCGCTCGGGTTTATTTGGGAAGAGGGGATCGTGGCTGCCGCCTTTTAATGGGACATAAGCGATGGTCTCTGAAACGCCACCATCTTATTTGTATGGCACCCCCGCCTTCAACCTCTGGTTTCTACTCGCTCCCTCATCTTCGCAAAAGCTTCAAAACTCACTGGCCTGGTTCCTCTCATGCCCAGCAACAGAGTTCTATCTGGTTCCTTGGCGGGGGCAGGGGAGAGAAGGGGAAATTAACATCCTGCTTCTATGGAATCCATCATCAGGCTTCCAGCATTTCCCACCTCCTGAGTTCCACCTGGTGGGGCACTCCCCCTGGTTGCTTTGGGGACGCCACTCATAGTGAATCTGGGACCCCCACCTGTTTCTATTATCCACCAGGATGCTCCTCTGGGACCCCCGACATGCGTTCTGGACGATCCTATCGGCTCATTTCTGCAGGACCTTTCTCTGAGGCCTCACTGCCTGGCCTCTCTGAGACCCCAGCCCGCTAGTGGTCCCCAGGGGGTTACCGGGGATGGAGGTGCCCAGGGCCACGAAGACCACAGCGTTGACGGAGTCCTTGAGGCCCACGGTGCAGCCAAAGTGGGAGGCAAGGTCGCCGATGAGGGCAGTGAGCAGGCCGATGACCAGGATGCAGACGCCGAAGCAGGCCCAGCCGTGGCAGTACTCCGTGGGGGGCACGCAGGCGAACAGCACCTTCCAGAACACCGTCAGGAAGTGCATGACGTAGTCAAAGCACGAAGGCAGCCGCTCCTCCCGGGACCCGTCCTCCTCCTCCTCCTCGTCCCCTGTGGGCACACGACCCAGCTGGGGCACACACCCATGCCTCCTTCCTCGCCTGCAGCCCCACTCTGTTCAACTTCCGGACAGCCAGTCCCATAAAACAAATCGCTTTCCCAGGATCCCTTGAAGCTAGGTGTGTCCATGTCAGCAAGCTAAAAACAATACTTTCCCAGGATCCCTTGCAGCTAGGAGAACATTAGGCCCAGGTGAAAATATTTACTTTCCCAGAATCCCTTACAGCTAGGAGAATGTTAGGCCCAGGTGAAAATATTTACTTTCCCAGAATCCCTCTAAGTTTCAGGAGGCCATATGCCCAGTTGAAAATATCCAGCTTCCCCGGATCCCTTGCTGCTAGGGGTGGCCACATCCCTTTACAGCTACTGACAGCCATGTAGAAATATTCACAGGTAGACATATTCTGCAGGAAGAAGTGTTCAGTTCCTTCGACTCATTGCAGCTGACAGTAGCCACACGCTTGATTTCCCAAAATTCCTTGCAGGTAGAGAGAGCCATGTATCCAGCTAACAGTCACTCTCCCAGAATCCCTTAAGGCTAGCAATGCCATGTCCTCAGGTGAAAACATTCACTTTCCCTAAATTCCTTGCAGCTAGTAGTCCTAAGCTAAATACTTGCTTTCCCAGAATCCCTTGCAGCAGTGGCCATGTGACCCCGTCTGGCAATGAGGCCTAAACAGAGGGTTTCTGGAAATACCTAGCTTTCCTGATAGGGGTGGGGTGTTGTGGATGTGTCTTCTGAGCCTTGTGAAGGGCCCGTCATTCTTAGAGTCGTCTGTGTCAGCTATTGCGACCCAAACCGACCCGCTTTTGACCTGCAGTGACTTGTGTGATGAGAAGGCACAAATGACAATTTGTCCGCCTCGCCCTAAACTGACAAGCACAAAGCAATGAATGAAGAGCAAGGAGCACACGGGTGTGCCAACCCAACATCTGGAAGGCTGCTGCTAAGAGACCCCGTGACCCCTGACCGGTCACTGAGAATAATTCGGGGAATAAAAGGCAGGCGGCCACCAAATTATGAAGCTACTTCCCGTGGTGCAGCCCAGTGGCTCCGCAGAACGTCAGCGGCAGAGGCTGCCCGGGGGCAGTGGAAGCCATGAGAGCTGGACGGGCTTGGGGATTCGGGTCAATTATACCTTCCCCACCTTTAGTCACTTGCCTTGTTAAGGAAATAAATGCTTGGATTTGTAGATGCTTCATTAAGTGGTGGTGTGGGGTTTTGGGGGTTCTGCATGTTACATCTCAAAGAGGGAGGTTTCTGCTGTGACCCCAAGTTAAGTGGAATTGGAAACTCAAACGCGACAGGCCTGCTGCCCCGTCCTGATCCCCTGCTCCCTCTCTTCCTGCCTGGAATACAGACTTGACACCTGGAGGGGCAGCAGCCATTTGGCAACCACGAAGCAAAAGCTGAGAAATAAGGAAGTGGCCTGGGGATTTAGTGACATTATTAAGCTGCTGCTAACTTGCTTCCTGCAGATTATTTTTCCTCCTGTGAGAAAAAATAAACTCGTGTGCTTACGCCACTTGTGGTCGAGTTTTCTGTGACTTGCCACCGTGCGCACCCCTCACTGACCACAGGGAGACACGGCGAAGGCCAGAGCATGGAGGACACACTCCTATTTGCATCTGAAGACTCAGCTCAGATGCCTCCTCCTCCAGGAAGCTCTCCCGACCTTCAAGCTGGGCCAGGCCCCCTCCCTGTGCAGCTCCCGGAGGGCCCCAGTCCGGCCCTGCCCACTCTGGGTTGTCACTCTTGTGACAGGTCTGTCTCCCACACGGGACTGTGAGCTCCACGAGGGCAGGGCCTGAGCTGTCATGGTCATCTCTGTCCCCAGGAGTGTCCTGTACGGGGCCGGGGCCGGGGCCGGGGACCCCTCAGAAGGAGAAGTCAGAGGATGTGGCCTCGGGGGAGACACCACCTCGTTTCTATTAGGCCTCCCATCTGCTGTCTCTTGGCCGCTGCCTGCTGCTTTTCTATCCCCGAAGCCTGGCGTCTGTGGGTCCCACCTCTGACCAGTGTCTTTCCAACCACAGTTCTGTGTTTCGGTTCCCACTGGATAGGCCTCCCGGGCGGGAAGCGGATGCTGTGCAGGGGACAGAGCCCCGAGCTCCACCCCAGCTCTTTCTGGATTCGCGGGGGGCTTCAGGCCAGCCCCGCCTCTGTCTCTGGGTCTCAGTTTCCCCAATGTGTACCCCAGACTGTGATCCGAGTGTCATAGTGTCTCTGGCCACAGGGGGGCAGTCGGAAACCGTCTGAGGCCTAAGGAGGGTGGACAACGTACAGGGGGGAGCAGCTGGGTGCTGTGGTGACTGTCGCCATGGCAACAGAGGAGCCCAGGCTCTATCGGGGGCGGGCAGGCCTTTTAACCTGTTTCCACCCTCCAATCTCCACAGGAAAGCCTGGGCGGTGCCCTCCCGCCCGCAGCCCTGCACCTCCGCCCCTGCCCCTCCGTCTCTGTCCGCCTTTTTCTCTGGGTCTATCTGCCCCTCCCTGGCCTCGTGCCCGGTACTGGCTTCACTCTCCAGGTCCCATTTCCTCGCCTCTGTCTTTCTGCGGTGAGTCTCTCTGTGTGCCTGTCTGTCTTGCTGGTCTCTGATCTCCATCTTTTCTTTTGTCTTCCTGTACCTGTTTCTTTCCTTTTCTCTTTGTCCCTCTCAGTGTCTTTCCTGTTCTTTTCTTTCTCCATCTCTCTGTCTTTCTCTCCTTGTCTCTCTTGCCCTCTGTCTTTCCACGCATTTCTCTCTGTGTCTCTCTCTGCCCGCCCCGCCCCTCCCTCTTCTGTCTCTCTCTCCTCCCTCCCCACTTACCTGCGCTCACCGTGATTGCCTCTAAAAACTGCTCCCTCCATGAATGGGTGCCAATCACCAAAGCCAAGTTCGTTTTCTTGATGAGTTTATCCACTGTGTTCTGGGGACGAAAGGGTGGGAGAGAGATTGTTGTCCGTGATCACCCAAGACTGCCCCATGAGGGGGACTGGGGTTGGGGGCCCACACCCCATGCTCAGGGGCCCCCAACCTTCCATACCCCAGGGCTACTAGCAAAAGGGAAAAGGGAGGCGTGTGCTGTCCATGGTGCTAATGGAGGGACCTGGAGGGTGGCTCTGGACCCTTGGTTGCCCCTCTCTTGTGACCCTCATAGGTGATCTCCTCTTAGACTCTCTCCACGGAAACAACTCAAGCAAAACCCCAAGACAGGGAGGCCCCAGAAAATCACCTTAAAGTCATACGACTCTTCAATGATGACCTCCAGCCGGCAGTTTTCCCCAAGAACCGGCTTGCCCATCTCTGCTATCCTCCGAGCCTCCTCCTCCTCTGCTGTCAGCTTCCTGTCCCCGTCCCCTGCAGCATGAGGGATGAGGGTTAGACTCCAGGGAGGCCTAGCTAATTGGGCCTGTGATGCCTTCACTCTAGGAAGCCACCTGGTGACACCCCTCCAGCCTGCCCCAGCCTCCTATCTGACCATCATCTTCCCCAACTCCCGCCCCAGCTCCCATGGCTGATCCACAAGGTTCAGTTGCTGGGCTCTGAGGTTCCTATGGTGGGCACTGTGTGGCCTTGGGCAATGCTTTAGCCTCTCTGTGCCTCAGTGTTCATATCTATATAATGGGCACAATAATAATACCTCCCTTATAAGGCAATTGCAAGAATTAAAAGAATTAATTCATGTTAAGTGTTTAGAACAGTGCTTGGCACATGATAGTCAGAAAAGCTACTTTCTTTATTATTATCACTGACATCATCACAACTCTTGAGGGAAGAGGACTGGTCTCTATATCGAAGCTCTGAAAACATCCTAGAGTATGACTGAGGGAGTGCAAAAGAGGGATGACCCAATTCAGTACAAATCTTGGACCTAGACCCCTATAGCTGGCCCTGAATTCATTTATCACCCTAAAGTGTGTTGATCCTTTGCTCCAAGCCCAGCACCAACCCTAACTCTCTGAAGAAAGCCACCCACCAGGCAGCTACACTGTCAGAAAACATTGCCTGAGCAAGAAATGACTTTTGTGTTCATCTCCTGGGATTTGGGGCCTATTTGTTACAGCAGCATGTATTACTTACCCTGCCTATTACAATCCTTTGTCCAGCCTTAACCATAACCCCGAACACCAATTCTATTCTCTCACCATCTCCAAGTCACTGACCCTATAGCCTCAACTCTCACCCCAGTCTCGGACCCTGACCCTAATTTTACTCACAAATCTAAACACCAGCTTCCATCTGAACTCTAACCTTGACCAAATCCTAATCCTGATCTCAAATCCTAAGTCCACCCCAGTCCTAAGTAACCCCAAGCCTGACTCCCTCTGGCCTCACCGCAGACCCAGTTTGGATTCTATGACTTACTCCCTCCTCTGACCTTGACTACAAACAAAACAATCTCGGCCTCTGAACCCCACGCTATAACCCCAAATTCAACTGGCCCTACCAACTCTAAGGCCAGCTCCATCCCTCACCCAAGTCTACTTGTATCTCACCTTCACCCTGCCTCACACCTGACCGGGAAGAGCAGCTCGAGGCCCTGACCCTCCCTGACGCCCCCTCCACGGCCCCCCTTTCTAGTAAAGCCAGGAGGTAAACTCCACTCACCTTGATTGAGCAGCAGGGCTGGGGAGAGACAGACAGAGAGAAAGTGAGATCGCTTCCCTGGGAAGCTCAGATCCACGAGTCTGAAGGAGCACCCACAGTGGACCCCCCAAGGCCCCCGCACCCTGGACCGTTTATCTCTCCCACAGCCCACCCCTCAGCCCTCACCTGAGATCCCTCGCTTAAGCCACTGCGGCTGGCCCAGCTCGATGAAGAAATTATCCTTTTTCTCATATTCCTCGTCATCCACTATCTTCACCTGAAGAGTTTTCCTGGGTGGACGAAGCAGGACACGGGGCATGAGGCCCCTCCCCTGAGTCACCGATAACTTCCCTCTCAGCCACCCCGTTCCTTGAGCCCCGCTCCGTCCCGGGTCCCGTCACCTCATTCAGTCCTGCAACCATCCTCAGAGGAAGGCCCTCTCTTTCTCTTATTATCCCCATTGACAGCACAAGCCCAGAAGCTGCCGAGGAAGCTGAGGCTTATTAAAGGGCGTCCCGAGGGATTCCGACACGACCCCCGTTACATCCGGTCCTTCCTCTGCTCGGGGCATTCAGGCGGTTCCCCTCTCAGCCGGGATCAAGGCCAGAGTCCGAGTGGCCCGCAAGGCCCCGTGCCATGTGGCCCTGGTTCCCTTCCTGGCCTCACCCCCCCCACCCCCTTGCTCACTCATCCCAGCTACACTGGCCTCCCCACTGTCCCTGGAACAACCAGCCTGCGCATGCCTCAAGGCTTTTACATGGCTGTTCCTCCCACCGAGAACACTGTTCCTCCAGGCTCACGCCCTCACTCCTCTAGTTCTCAAACTCCACCTGTTTCTTTTCTTTTTTTTTAAATTTTTTTTTATTGATTTCAGAGGGGAAGGAGAGAGAGACAGAGAGAGAGAAATATCAATGATGAGAGAGAATCATTGATTGGCAGCCTCCTGCACACCCCACAATGGGGATAGAGCCCGCAACCAGGCATGTGCCCTGACCGGGAATCGAACCGTGACCTCCTTGTGTTCATAGGTCAACGCTCAATCACTGAGCCATGCGGGCCAGGCTCCATCTTCTTTTTCAATGAGGCCCATTCCCACCACCTCCTTTAATACTGAAATCCGCCCCTGCCCGCCCCCCAGCATCCCGAACCCCTTCTGTGTTCTGTCGTCTTTGTTCTAACACACCATCTAGGCTAGGGTGTGCACTTATTTTGTTTATTCTTTGCCATCTTCCTCCTGGCATTAAAAGGCAGCTTCCCCCAGGGCAGTGACCTGTGTTCATTTACGTTCTCTGCTGACTCGCCAACGCCTAGGGCAGGGCACCTTCCACAAACCTCTGTTCACTGGAACCCTTCGGCCCAAGAGACCACCAGCTGCCTGCCCTCTGTCCTGTACACATCTGGAAGGCTAACCGAGTGCTCATTGACTTCCCCGGCATCCCCGCTGCTATGGTAATCGGGGTTTGGCAGGGGAGGAATGGACAGACGTTATCCCTCCCCTCCAGGCACACAACCCACCCCTCCGTCACAAAGACCCACAACCTCAGAAAGCCCACACATTGCACTGGCAGCGCTTTCGGCGGCAGGAACCACAAGGCCCAGCCCCAGAACCCAGGCACACAAACACCGGCCCACACAGTCACCCAGAGAGGAAGCACAGCCAATCACACCGCCCCCATCCGCACACCATCGCACCCGCAGCCATTCCCTGCGGGGACCAGATGCCTGTGAACACGACGCCCCCACCACAGCCGCGGCGACAGGGCCAACCTACAGACCCTGGTGTTACCAGGCAGCCTCTCCTCCCGCAGACCTCGCTCGTTATGCCTTTTGGTTCTGTTTATTCCCTTCAATCTCTCTCTCTCTCTCTCTCTCTCTCTCTCTCTCTCTCTCTCTCTCTCTCTCTCTCTCTCTCTCTCTCTCCCATCTCGGCATCTCTTTCAATCTCCCTGTCTCTGCCCATCTCTCAGCCTCCCTCTGTCTCTCCCTCTCCGTCTCTCCGTCCCTGTCTCTGGCTGTGACCCTCTCTGCCTCAGTGTCTCCCCAGCCCTCTGCCTTTCTCTATCTGTTCTCTGTCTGGCTCTCAGTGTTCACAGAGTGGAACAGCCACATCAACACAACTCAAGCAAAAGGGTCTCAACACAACAGGCCCATCTCAACACACAAATGCACAAGTCACAGTGACACCCATGCAAAGACAGACACACACAAAGCGGTCATGCGGGGACGTACGCCCACCGCCACCCTCTCCTGCTCTCAGCATATTTTAACTTTTCTGTGGGTGCAAAGAATCGCCGGCCCCCACCTCAGGCGGGGCGGGGAGCTGTCCGTGGTGCTGAAGCGCCTTGGCGAGGAGCAGGATCCGCAGAGACACGCTCCTCACACACCCTGACCCACGCGGAGAGCGGCTGACAGGGACACACACACACACACACACACACACACACACACACACACACATGCCCACTCTCTCACAGACATGCCACGGTTCCCCGACATGCAGTGACTGACACCCAGTGACACGTACACCAACTGACACCCTGACAGGCATGGCCTCAGGGGACCCAGGAGGAGACACCCAACTGGTAGGGACAGCAGGAGGGACTAGAGCGAGACGAGGGCAGGGCTTGCTGAGATCAAGGAGGAAGCCTCCCCCCCAGCCTGACTCTCCATCACCCTCACGCCTGCCCTCCTGTGTCCTGGAAACTCCCCTCTCCCGCCCACTGTGTGTGGCCTCTGACCTCAGACCCATTTCCTTTCTCCTGCTGCTTCCTGTTGTCTCTTGCTACCCGACCTCTTTTTTTCTTCGTTGCTTCCCCAGGACCTCTCCTTCCCCGAGTCCCCCTGAGGCTCCCGTTCAGAATATCTCTCCTCTCCTTTCAGTCTTCCTTCCTCTCAGTCCCTCAATCTCTCCCTCTCCCTCTCCTTTTTAAAACAAATGTTTTTATTGATTGTAGAGAGAGAGTAAGGGAGAGGGAGAGAGAGACACACACGTTGATCAGATAGCCTTGAGAGAGAGAAAGAGAGAGAGAGAGAGAGAGAGAGAGAGAGAGAGAGAGAGATCAGATAGCCTTCCGCACCAGGAATTGGGAACTGAACCCCTGGGAATTGAACCGGCAACCTTTCGGTGCACGGGACAACGCTCAACCAGCTGAGCCACGCTGGCCAGGGCTCCTCGGCCTCTCTTGCTGTATCTCTGTCTCTCCGTTTCCTTCTCTCTTTGTCTCTAAGTTTCTGTCTCTCCCAAGCTCTCTGTGTCTCTTTTCTGGCTGCTTCTCTCTCTCTGACTCTGTTACCCTGGCTCTGCCTCTCCCTCTCTCTCTCTTTCTCCAGGTCTCCTCTGTCTCTGTGTCTGTCTGTCTGTCTCTTCTTGCATCCTCTCCCCTCCACGGATGGTGCTCTGAGCCCCCAACCCAAGTTCTCAACCCCAGCCAGACAGAGCGAACGATGGAGAGGTATGGAGAATTCATTACTGAAATATTACCGGGCCAGAGAGCTGGATACAGAGATGGAGAGATGAACAGAGACCCGGGGCGAGAGTGGGAGGCGGCAGAGACGCACAGGGGAGAGAGGGAGAGCGGTGAGAAGCTGGGCGGAGGCCAAGGCACAGAGGTGGGAGGAGGAGGGGGAAGGAGCGCGGTGGGGGCTCTGCTCGGTGGGAGGAGCGTGGGCGGCAGGAGGAGGGAGACAGACGGGCGTGCGGGGGCGGCGGAAGGGAGCGAAGGGGGACAGGCGCGCGCAGCATCCCTGGCAGGCAGGTGGGGGAGGTGAGGCTGCAGGCACCCCCGGGAGACTCGGGCATCTGTGTCAGGCCGTGGCCGGGTGTCTGGGCGTCAAAGCAGCCCTGTTTCAACGTGCCTGTCTGTGACATTTTGTGTCTGTATGTTGCCTGTGTGCGTGTGTGTGTTGGTTGTGTCTGTGTGTCTACAGATGTCTGCCTGTGCACCCAGCCCCACTCCCCAGACTCCACGCCACCTTCCCAAACCCCAGCCCCCCAGTTTCCCAGACCCTGCCGCCCCCTTCCCAGGTCCCCATATGGCTACTCAGTCTTCCTAATGCCACGACCCTTTAATACAGTTCCTCATGTTGTGACCCAACCATGAAATTATTCTCATTGCTACTTCATAACTGTAATGTTGCTACTGTTATGAATCGTCATGTAAGTATCTGATATGCAGGATGTATTTTCATTGTTCGAGACCCACAGGTTGAGAACCCCTGCTTCGGTCTCTCATTTCTCCAGATTCCACCTGCTCCCCACAAGCCCCGCCCCATCTCCTTATGCCCCGCCCTCTCCCGCTGTCCAGGTCTATTTCCTCGAGTCCCTACCCAGACTCCACCCATGCCTTAGGCCCTGTCTCCATTCCACAGACTCGCCCTCCACTCCGTCCTCTTCCCACCTCCACGGGACCCTCGTCTCCGCAGGCCACACTCCATCTCCACCAACTACCGATGAAGTCTCCACACTCCTCTGCCCAGGCCCTGACCCTCCCCCGAGTCCCCACTTCTCCCCAAACAACCAGTTTCTCCCAGGCCCCACCCACGTCCCTTCCTATCATCTTGGCCACACCCCATCACTGCTGTCTCCTCCCTCCTCTCTCCTGACCCGGCCCCTCTCTGTTCCCTGTCCATCTACCCCGACCTTTCAATTTCACCAGCGCGGGCCTACCCAGGCCCCACCCACAACCAGACCACGCCCATCCCCACAACCACGCCCCGCCCACTAGCAGCCCACCCGCTCATTCCCCCTTCCCGGGCATGGCCCCGCCCCTCCAGCAGGCCCCGCCCCCTCCCGGACCCCCAGGGGGAGGCGGGGGGACACTGCGCTCTCACATGGTCTCGTCGTCGCCGAACTCGAGCTCCCCGCACGCGTCCTCGTAGTGCACGCCGCCGCCGCGCGCCGTGCCGTCCACCGTGCGGTAGGGGAGGCGCACGGTGCCGCGCGCGCCCGAGCTGCGCACGACGCGCACGTCCACGGTGCCCATGCACTCGCTCACGTGCAGCAGGCGGTCCTGGAAGGAGAAGATGCCCGCGTGGTCGTCGTCCAGGATGGTGACGGTGGCCAGCAGCGGCGCCACCAGCCGCCCTTTGGGCCGCCCGCCGCCGTCGGGCTCGAACATGCCCTGCGCGTCGCCCACGCGCAGGTTCAGCAGCCGCACGAAGAAGTGCTCGTCCTCCTCGAAGATGTCGTCGTCGATGATGCCGATGCGCAGCTCCTTCAGCGTCTCGCCCGGCTTGAACACCAGCGTGCCCTCGCTGCAGCGGAGGGGCGGGGGAGAGAGGGGTGAAGGGCAGGCGGTCAACAACGGGGGGCAAAGGCAGTCAGGGCAGGCTTCCCGGAGGAGGGGGCAGTGCCACGGGGCAGCTCTCAGGTATGAGAGTGGACAGGCATTAAACAAATAATACGGAGGGGGAATCAGGTGGGCTCTCGGCGGGGAGGGGATGCAGGAGAGGAACAGGGCAGAGTTGGTCCAGCATTATACAGATAATGATGACTGTGAAATCAGGGCTGGCTTCCCGGAGGAGGCTTCTGTGGGCAAGAGTTCGCCAGGCAGAGGGAACAGCACATGCAAAGTCCCAAGGTGGAGAGAGAATCTGGAGGGTTCCATAGTCATGAGTCTCAAACCTTAATGTGCACACAAATCACGTGGGGATCCTGTTAAAATGCAGGCTCTGGTTCCATAGCTGCAGGTTTCAAAAATTCTGCATTTCTAATTAGCTCCCAGGGGATGCAGACAGTCCCCGTGAATGGACCGTCCATGGAGTAGAAGTGCTGCAGGGCCCAGGACTGACTTTGTCAGGCTTCTGACAAACCCTTCTGTGTTCCCAGGGACCCCCAAGAGAAAGACCACATTCCTGAACTTGGCATCATTTGTTCATTCATTCATTCATTTAACAAACACTCCCTGAGCACCTGCTCTGCCCTGTGCTGGGCCCTGCTGGGAACACAGCGGGGAACAGGCTGTCTTCACGGAGCGCACAGCCTCATGGCAGAGCCGTATCACGGTGACAATTACACATTTAACGATTTAATTGCAGTTGCTTCGTTCAACCAATATTTATTGGGCACCTGCTGTGTGCCAGGCACTGTTCTAAGTGCTGGGGAAACAGCAGTAAAAACAGAGCAGTGGAGAGTTCTAGTGCAGGAGATGAATAACAAACATGACGTCAGGTGGCGATGGTGCTGTGGATAAAATAGCGGGAGAGGGTGGAGAGTGGGGAGGGGGTGCCGTGTGAGGGTGGCTGGGGAAAGCCTTGCCGAGGAGCGCACATCTGAGCAGAGACCCGAGGAGGGAGCCAAGTGGAGGAGATCTGGAGAAGAGTATTCATGTTCAAGGGAACAGCCCATGCAAATGTCCTGAGGCAGCAGCAGCCTGGAGTGTTTGAGGCCAGTGTGGCTGCAGTGGAGGGAGCAGGGGGGAGAGGGGGGCAGATGACGTCACAGGGGGAACAGGAGCAGATGGCGTAGGCCTTGGTGCGCCACGAGGAGGGCTGTGGCCGTTAGTCCAAGTGAGATGGAGACGGCGCAAGGCCTCTGAGCAGAGGAGGGGGGTGGGCTGGCTTACGGTTAAACATGTCGCTGCAGGGCACACAGGATACGCTACAGTGGGGTGGGGGAGGCAGCGAGGCAGGGACATTAGCTTAATCAGGGGGAGCTGTGAGGGGACAGGGAATGAGTGGGCTCTCCCTGGTAGAGCTGTAGACAGCAGAGTGACTCTGGGTGTCAATTCATCTACAAAACCTTTCATTTTCCCTCCCACCCCTCCCACCATGCACCTCAGGGGCTCGGCTCCGGTTGTGAAATGCACTATATGATCGATAAGTGTTCACGATCGTTAATTATCACTTTCAGAAGAAAGGGGTCCTGGGCTCCAGTTCTCCAAGGGAAGCCCAGCCCTCTGGGAGGGGCAGAGGGACCCCAAGGTTCTGGCAAAGCAGAACCAGATGACAAGACCCCGAGTAGAGGACCAAAGCCCGCTGGCCCACAAGGACGCTGTCCATGGTGGCTGCGACGCCCAGCCAGGTGGGCCAACCTGCGCCCAGCAGGGCCGGGCCCCGTGCCCGCTGTAAGAACTTGGGCAGTTAGGATGCTGCAGCCCTCTGAGCCTCAGTTTCCCCGTCTGTAAAATGCAGCTAATAACAGTGTCTACCTCATGGTGTTGTTATAAGAATTGAGTTAGCCCAGCGGGCGTGGCCCAGTGGTTGAGCGTCGATCTATAAACCGGGAGATCACAGTTTAATTCTCAAAAGGGCACATGCCTAGGTTGCAGGCTCGATCCCCAGTAGGGGGCGTGCAGGGAGCAGCCAGTCAGTGACTCTCTCTCATCACTGATGTTTCTATCTCTCCTCTCTTCCTCTCTGAAATCAATAAAAATATGTGTTGTTTTTTTTTTAAAAAAAAAGAGAATTGCATTAATACAGGAAATGCACTCAACAAAAGCTAGCTAGTGATATTTACATATTAATATTAGAATCTCAGGATCCTAAAGTTGTGGGATGTTAGAAATGTAAACTTATCAACAAACAAGAGCTGGTAAGGATGTGGAGAAAAGGGAACCCTTGACTGTTGGTGGGAACGCAAATTGGTGCAGCTGCTATGGAAAACTGTGTGGAGATTCCTCAAAAAGTTTTAAAAAAAATAGAACCACCTTATGACCCAGCAAGTTCACATCTGGGTATTTATTTAAAGAAATCCAACGCACTAGTTTGAAAGCTATATACATCTCTATGTTCATTGCAGTGGTATTTACAACTAGAGGCCTGGTGCATGAAATTTGTGCAGCGGTGGGGTGGGGAGAGTCCCTCAGCCCGGCCTGTGCCCTCTCACAGTCTGGGAGCCCTAGTCCGACATCCTTAACACTGCCGTGGAGGCGGGAGAGGCTCCCACCACCGCAGCTGCACTAGCCAACCGTGAGCCCGTCCTCTGGCTGAGTGGTGCTCCCCCTGTGGGAGCGCACACTGACCACCAGGGGGCAGCTCCGGCATTGAGCATCTGCCCCCTGGTGGTCAGTGTGCATCATAGCGACCGGTCGTTCTGCTGTTGGGCCGAAACCGGCTCTCCGTCATCCCCCAAGGGGTCCTGGATTGTGAGAGGGTGCAGGCCAGGCCGAGGGACCCCACTGGTGCACTATCGGGCTGGGGAAGGATGCAGGAGGTTGGCCAGCAGGGGAGGGACCATAGGAGGGCTTCAGGGCATGTCCGGCCCATCTCGCTCAGGCCCGATTGGCTGGACCCCAGCAGCAAGCTAACCTACTGGTCAGAGCATCTGCCCCCTGGTGGTCAATGCACGTCATAGAGAGCGGTTGAGCGGCCTTAGCATATCATTAGCATATTATCCTTTGATTGGTTGAATGTCCAACTGAACGACCGGACACTTAGCATATTAGGCTTTTATTATATAGGCTAGCCAAGATATGGAAGCAACCTAGATGTCCATTAATAGATGAGTGGATAAAGGAAATATGGTACATATACACAATGGAATATTACTCATCCATAAAAAAATAGTGGAATCTTACCATTTGTGACACGATGGAGGAACCCAAAGGGTATTATGCTGAGTGACATAAGTCAGTCAGAGAAAGACAAATACCATAAGATTTCCCTTATATGTGGAATCTAAAAAACAAAGTAAATGAACAAACAAGACAGAAACAGACTCATAGGTACAGAGAACAGACTGCTGGCTGCCAGATGGGAGGGGAGTGGGTGTCTGGGAGGAAAAGGTGAAGGCAGTAAGAAGTACAAACTGGTCGCTACAAAACAGTCATGGGGATGTGAAGTACAGCATAAGGAATAGAGTCAATAATATTTTAATGACTATGTATGGTGCCAGGTGGGAACTCGACTTATTGGGGGGATCATTTTGTAAGTTTTATAAATGCCTAACTACTGTGCTGTACACCTGAAACTAACAGAATATTGAATGTCAACTGTAATAGAAAAAATTTAAAAAGAGAAATGGGTTGACCCAACCATGTGGCTCAGTGGTTGAGCGTCAACCTATGAACGAAGAGGTCATGGTTTGAGTTCCGGTCAGGGCACATGCCCGGGTTGCAGGCTCGATCCCCAGTAGGGGGCAGGCAGGAGGCAGCCGATCAAAGATTCTCTCTCATCAATGTTTCTATCTCTCTCTCCCTCTCCTTCCTCTCTGAAACCTATATATATATATATATATATATATATATATATATATATAAATATATTTTATTGATTTTCCACAGAGAAGAAGGGAGAGGGATAGAGAGTTAGAAACATCGATGAGAGAGATCGATCAGCTGCCTCCTGCACGCCTCCCACTGGGGATGTGCCCGCAACCCAGGTACATGCCCTTGACCGGAATCGAACCTGGGACCCTTCAGTCCGAAGGCCAACGCTCTATCCACTGAGCCAAACTAGTTCGGCAATAAAAACACATTTAAAAAAAAAAATGTAAACTTCAAGGGATAGTAGAATGTGGTGATTTTAGCACCATCATTTTTTTAAGGTGCGTGTTTTTTAAATTTAACTTTACTGTTGAAAGTCTTTAGCACCATCTTTACCACAAAGGGCTGAGGTGGACATCACCAGTAAGGGGACCAGTGGGTGTCGTGCCTCCTGGGCAATGAGGAGGACACGGCATCACTTCCCCGGCCCCGCCCGAAGCGCACCCCCTGAATCTGACCACAGGAAACAGACAAGTCCAAACCAAACCGAGGACTGTCCCAGTAACTGGCCTGTCCTCTTCCAAAGTGTCGGGGGTCACGAAAGCCACGGGAAGGCTCAGGGACGGATCCAGAGTGAAGCGGACAGAGACACGACCATCAGACACAAGGCGTGGTTCTGGGATGGATGGGAAGAGGGGGAGGGGGACACGCAGCCGTAAGGGATGCTCCGGGGGTCGCCGGGGCGATGCACGCGTGGGCTGCACATCGCGCAGTCACACTGATTCGGTGTTGAGTGTCCTGAGTGTGGGGGCCGTTGGCGATTATGCAGGAGAATGTCGCTGTTCCTGGAGAGGCACGCTCGAGTGTTCATGGGCGCAGGGCCGTGCTGCCTGCAGCTCACACGGAGCGCCACGATTATTCATATGAAACATTGAAGCCAGAGAGGAATGCACGGACAGAGCATGAGCGGTTCGTGGGTCTGCGTGGGGGATGGCTGCTGCGCGATCGCGGGCCCCGCGATCTGTGACTAGTTCAGGGAGAGGGTGGGGGGAGGGGTGGCGGATGGTGAGCGGATGGGGCCGGGGCACAGCTCAGCCGCCAACACGCTCCCCCGTCCTCTGCCTTAGTTTCCCTCACGGCTCTTGCCCCTTCCTGGCATTTCTATGTGTGCAGCGGGTACGTCCTAGTGGCCTGTCTCTCCCTCACGGCCGGTGAGGACGTTGACTGTTCTGGCAGGAATTTTATGTGTTTCATTTGCTGCTGTCTCCACTGCCCAGGCCCATGGCTGACCCAGCAGACACACGATAAGTGCTATTATTTTAGGAAACCAAGGGAGACTTGCACGCCAGTTAACTACAGTAGCTATCCTGTAAAGCTACAATTCGTGAAAGAGTGTGGTATGGACAGAACTACAAATAGATAAAGAATTTTGTGGGCCACAGGAGGGCAGCGAAGTTATCTTGCTGGCATTTGTATGTTGAGCCACAAAAGAAAGCGCCTGGCGCACAGTAGGTGCTTGAATGAGGGGAGATCACAGGTCTGTTCCAAAGGGTGTGAGGACAGGGCAGCGAGGCTCAGTAGGGCGCAAGCGGTGGGTTGCTTTATGGTGGAGCCAAAAACCTGGGCACAATTGGGGCACCGTCGCCTTCCTCTTATCTTACTTAATATTCCTACGTAGTACTTACATCACCTGATGGTGTGGATTTTTTTATTAATGTTTTTCGATTGATTTCAGAGAGGAAGAAAGAGGGAGGAAGAGATAGAAACATCAATGATGAGAGAGAACCATTGATCGGCTGCCTCCTGCACGCCCCCCACGGTGACTGAGCCTGCAACCCAGGCATGTGCCCTTGACCGGAGTCGAACCCAGGACCTTTCAGTCTGCAAGCCGACGCTCTATCCACTGAGCCAAACCGGCTAGGGCTCACCTGATGTTTTCATATAGTTTAATAGTTTGCAGCCTTACTGTAGCAGGACGGTAGGGACCTTAGATGTCGTGCTCACCATGATATACCCATGGCATACAGTAGGCACTCAATAAACGCTTTATTTTAGTCATGGTGTCCGTGGGGTACTTGTTCTACCAGGGAAGCATACAGGTAACAGTGTGGTGCCAAGCACAGGAGCCCACAGGTACGTGATGAACATGGGAGGGGCAGCCCTGGCCAGTGGGCACTCACATTCTCTTGTGTGCCCCGAAGGCCTGGGACAGTGTGCTGCCAAGTAGGCTCTCTACAGTGAATGAACGGCCTGACCGGCGTGGCTCAGTGATTGAGCGCCGACCTGGGAACCAGGAGGCCAGGGTTCGATTCCCGGTCAAGGCACATGCCCGGGTTTGAGGCTCGATCCCCAGTAGGGGGCGTGCAGGAGGCCGCCGAGCGATGATTCTCTCTCATCATTGATGTTTCTCTCTCCCTCTGAAAATAATATATTTAAAATTAAAAAAAGGAGCGAGCGAATGAATGAATCCTGCAGGTCTGCCCGTAGCAGAGCGAGGATGGGCGCGGAGGCAGCCAGGAGACCCGGGAACCCCGAGGCCCCGCGAGGATGGGCGCAGAGGCCAGGAGACCCGGGAACCCCGAGGCCCCACGCACAGCCTCCCTCCCGCCCGCCCGCCCCCCGGACCCACCTGTACTCGTAGTCGGAGCCCGCCTTGGCCGAGCCGTCCTCCGTGCGGTAGTCCACGTAGAAGGTGCTGTTGCCCTCGCCGCCCTGGCAGGTGACGGCCAGCAGCACGGAGCCGCAGTTCTCCAGGCAGTGGTAGAGGCTGGGCTCGAAGAAGATGCGGCTGGCGCCGTCGTCCTCCTCCTCCGCGGGCCCGTCGGCGGGGCCGGCCCGGCGCGAGGCGTCCGCCGCGTGGCGCCGCAGCACGTTGCCCGCGCCCGTCATCATGCGCGTGGCCTGGATGCGGTAGAAGGCGCGGCTCTTCTGCTGGTGCAGCAGCGCGTAGTAGTTGGCGATGCCCACCAGCTGGTCCAGGTCCTTGTCCGGGTGCTTCTGCTTCAGGTCCTTGAGGATCTGGATGACCTCGCGGCGGCTGGCGTCCAGCTCGCGGGCCTCGGCGGGGCCCGGGCCCAGGCCGCCCGCCTCGCCCGGCCCCTCGGCGCCCACGAACGTGCCGTCCAGCTCGATGCTCTTGGGGGGGTCGCCCTCGGCGCCGATGATGATGCCGCTGCGCGGGTCGGTGCGGTAGCGCTTGTACACGTACTTGTAGAAGAGCAGCCGCTTGTCCGCCATCCAGGCGAACACCACGCACACCGGGAAGAAGATGAGGGTCAGCAGCGCCTCCCACACCTGCGGGCGGGCGGGTGGCCGCGGGTCAGCGCCGCCGCCAGGGGGCGCGCTCCGCCCTCCGCGGCTCTCCGCGTGCGCCTCCCGCGTCTGGGTCCCAACACCCCGCAGGTGGTCCCTGTCCCGCATCTCCCCATCTCCCCCATCTCCCCCATCTCCCCCCATCTTCCCCCCATCTCCCCTCTCTCCCTCTCCCCCATCTCCCCATCTCCCCCATCTCCCCATCTCTCCCCATCTCCCATCCCCATCCCCCATCTCCCCATCTCCCCCATCTCCCCCATCTCCCCATCTCCCCATCTCCCCATCTCCCCATCTCCCCTCCCCCCATCCCCCATCTCCCCATCTCCCCCATCTCCCCATCTCCCCCATCTCCCCATCTCCCCCATCTCCCCTATCTCCCCCATCTCCCCCATCTCCCCATCTCCCCCATCTCCCCATCTCTCCCATCTCCCCCATCTCTCCCATCTCTCCCATCTCCCCATCTCCCCATCTCCCCCATCTCCCCATCTCCCCTCTTCTCCTCACCTCTCCCCATCTCCCCATCTCCCCATCTCCCCATCTCCCTCATCTTCCCCATCTCCCCATCTCCCATTCTCCCCCATCTCCCCATCTCCCCATCTCCCCCATTCCCCATCTCCCCATCTCCCCCATCTCCCCATCTCCCATCTCTCCCATCTCCCCATCTCTCCCATCTCCCCATCTCTCCCATCTCCCCATCTCTCCATCTCCCCCATCTCCCCATCTCCCCATCTCCCCATCTCCCCATCTCCCCCATCTCCCCATCATCTCCCCATCTCCCCCATCTCCCCATCTCTCCCATCTCCCCATCTCCCCATCTCTCCATCTCCCCATCTCCCCCATCTCTCCCATCTCCCACTTCCGTCTCTGCACCCTCCTCCCTCTTCGTCTCTGTTCCGCTCTTGTCCCTGTTCCTCTGTCTCCTCGTCTCTCTGTGTTGGTCTGTCTCAGCCTTGTGTCTGTTGGATTTTTGTTTTCTACCTTTCCTCCTCCTCCTCCTCCTCCTCCTCCTCCTCCTCCTCCTCTCCCTTAAAAAAAAAAAATTCCCACCGAGGATATGCTTATTGGTTTTAGAGAGGAGGAGGGAGAGAGGGAGAGAGAGATCGGTTGCCTCCCACACACGCCCTGACTGGGAATCAAACCCACAACCTACGTACATGCCGACCTGGAATCAAACCCACAACATTGTGGTGTATGGGCCGAGGCCCCAACCACTGAGCCACCCGCCAGGGTCTTCCTTTCTTGCTGCCTCCTGACTCGTCTCCACGTCCTTTTATGTATTTTGTGGATTTCGATCTCCTTCCCTTGTGAGATGCTTGGAAGTCTGTCCCTCTCTCCCTGTCTCTCTCCTGGTCGCCTCATTCACCCCCTTTTCTCACGCTCAGGATCATGCCCAGGAACCAGCTATTCTCCGGCATCACCAAGGCAGCCCCCTCCCCGCAGTCCCAGCTCCATGCGCTCTGCCCACCCCCCTCCCATTCCCCCCCACCCTGAATGTGGCCTGGCCAGGCGCCTTTCTCAGAACGGGGCCCTTGGGGACAGGGCTGATTCTAAAAGAGGCTCAGCCTGGCTTCTCCGCAGCCTCATGAAACCAGTTCCCATGTTTACATGCTGCCTCCCCAGAGAGCCCGGCCATGCCCAGCTCCGATCCCGGGACGTCTGGCCCAGCCTCTTGTCCACGAGGTGGGCACCGACCCAAGACTGAGTGAGTTATGCACCGGGGCACGCGGCATGGTCGGTTCCTGACGTGGAAAATACTCAAAATGCGAAATTGCTATTATCATTATCATCACTAGTATTCTTCTCTGGGCGCGTTGCAAAAGCATCCACTAGCACATGACAGTTCACCCTGAAAGTATGCGTGAAAAGCCTCAAATGGAGCCTAGCCGGCCGGCCTGGCTCAGTGATTGAGCGTTGACCTATGAACCAGGAGGTCACGGTTCAATTCCCGGTCAGGGCACATGCCCGGGTTGCGGGCTCGATCCCCAGTGGGGAGTGTGCAGGAGGCAGCAGATCCATGATTCTCTCTCATCCTTGAGGTTTCTCTCTCCCTCTTCCTTCCTCTCTGAAATCAATAAAAAAATATTTTTAAAGAAGACTCAAATGTCACCTTCCTCGTTAAAGATAAGGAAGAAACGCTGTTGCTCAGTGGTTAGAGCACCAGCCCGGGGACTGAAGGGTCATGGGTTCAATGCTGGTCAAGGGCACGTGCTTCGGATGCAGGCTCACGGTGTATGCAGAAGGCAACCGGTTGATATGGCTCTCTCACATCCATGTTTCTCTCTCTGTCTCTCCCCCTCCCTTCCACTCTCTCTAAAAATCAATGGGAAAAAAAAAATACTTGGGTGAGGATGAACAAAAAACAAACAAACACAAAAAAGATAAAGAAGAAAAGAGCAAAAAGGATTTATTATTTGCTGGCCCCAGAGGTATCTTAACAATGAGTCTGGTCGGGGAAATAGCTCTTAAGATCTCGCTGTGGCCGAAACCGGTTTGGCTCAGTGCATAGAGCGTCGGCCTGCGGACTGAAGGGTCCCAGGTTCGATTCCGGTCGGGGGCATGTACCTGGGTTGCGGGCACATCCCCAGTGGGAGATGTGCAGGAGGCAGCTGATCGATGTTTCTCTCTCATCGATGTTTCTAACTCTCTATCTCTCTCCCTTCCTCTCTGTAAAAAATCAATAAAATATATTAAAAAAAAAAAAAAAGATCTCGCTGTGTTTACTGATGGCTCAGGGAAAAGGCAGGACTTGGAAATAGTGAAACCGCACAGAAGCCACCAGATGGGTTTGTGAGAAGAAGCTGTAAAGCGAGCCCCCGCCCCCTGGGCACCGGACTGGCCAGCGTGTATGTTGCGGGGGATTCTCTCTTCATCAGAGGACAGTCTCAGGCCCCTACGACTGGCTTTGCTCCCTGCAGGGAAGTTAAAGGAGACCCTAGCACAGTGGTTCTCAACCTTCCTGACGCCGCGACCCGTTCATACAGCTCCTCATGTGGTGGGGACCCCCAACCATAAAATCATTTTCGTTGCTACTTCATAACTGTAATTTTGCTACTGCTATGAATCGTCATGTAAATATCTGATCTGCAGGATGTATTTTCATTGTTACAAATTGAACATAATGAAAGCATAGTGATGAATCACAAAAACAATATGTGATTATATGTGTGTTTTCCGATGGTCTTAGGCGACCCCTGTGAAAGGGTCGTTTGATCCCCAAAGGGGTCGCGACCCACAGGTTGAGAACCTCTGCCCTTGCAGGTCCCGTCTGCCCTGTAGGGCACCCACAGAGAGGGCGTGTGCACTCGCCCACGGTGGGAGGGGAGTGAGACACCTCAGGTCCCGGTGGACAGACACGCCCCCCGGCGGGGGATCAGAACTCCAGGGTGCTGATGGGTGCACATAATTGGGGCGTTCCAGCCTGCTGACATCAGAGACGCATGGGACAGCCCCCCACAATACACGTCCTGCTGACTTCGTTTCAGAACCTCCCACTGGACATTCATGCCAGTGAAAAGCCTGCTTACAATAACCAGGGCAGAACTCCCCCCTGACTTTGTACGTACGAGGCATGCTCCTGGCTGTTTCATATGCACTAAAGATGCTCGCTTTTAACCTCGTGGCGACCTGGTCCTCTGTTTGAATCCTTGCATGGAACGGTCTCTGGTCTTTTCTAAGATATTTTTATTGATTTCAGAGAGGAAGGGAGAGGGAGAGAGAGATAGAAACCTCAGTGATGAGAGAGAATCATTGATCGGCTGCCTCCTGCACGCCCCCTACTGGGGATCGAGCCCACAACCGGGGCATGAGCCCTTGGGACCCTTTAGTCCACAGGCCGGCACGCTATCCACTGAGCCACACCGGCTAGGGCTTGTTCTTTATAAGTAGGTGTTGGCATGGGGCTCCCTCGTCATGACGGTTAGGTAGTCATGTGGAAGCACTGACATGTGGAACGCACACTGTCCTATGAGAGGTTACTTTCCTTTATGTCATAGGTCAGGGGTTACACTGACGTGGGGATGCCAACAGCAGAGGCAAGTTCAAGGTCACTCATGAGAAGAACAGTTCACCCTCTCTCTGCCCCTGGCTGGCCGTTCTAGGCCCTCCCACAGGAAGCAATTCAGCGGATCCTCACGCAGCCCTGAGAGCACGTGAGGGACTTGCCCGAGGTTAGTTACACAGCTAAGAAGCAGCAGAGGTGGGATTTGAACCCAGCCCTCGGGCCCCAGGGTCCACGAACTAAACTCTGAGGCTAGAAGTCTTCTCTCTTCTTACCTAAGAATTTCCCATCAGCAGAATAAAGGGCATAAAACAGATTGTCTGTTATAAAAAAGGAGCATTAGGTTTGAAGGGCCAAAAACGATTGGTCGAGCCCTGGCCAGTGTTGCCTAGTAGTTAGAGCATTGGCCTGTGCACCAAAGGGTCTTGGGCTCGATTCCCAGTCAAGGGCACGTACTTGGGTTGCAGATTTGATGCCCAGCCCCAGTTGGGGCACATGCGGAAGGCAACCAATTGATGTGTCTCTCTCACATTGATGTTTCTCTCCCTCCCTGCCTCCCTCTCCCTCCCTTCTACTCTCTCTAAAGATCAATGGAAAGAATATACTCAGGTGAGGATTAACGACAACAAAGCCCCGGCCGGTGTGGTGCAGTGGTGAGTGTCGGCCCATGAACCAGGAGGTCATCATTCAATTCCCAGACAGGGCACATGCCCGGGTTTCAGGCTTGATCCCCAGGAGGGGGCCTGCAGGAGGCAGCTGCTCAATGATTCTCTCTCACGGATATTTCTCTCTCTTCCTCTCCCTTCCGCTCTCTGAAATCAATACAAACATATTTTTTAAAAACATTTTTAAAAAAGAACCAGTGGTCTAGTTCAACCCCTTCCATGGTTCAAATGTGAAAACTGGGGCCCAGAGAGGGTACAGGCTTCGCCGGAGGGCACACAGCACTTCCGGGGGGAAGCCAGAGCCAGGCTCATCTTCTCCCTGCCCCGTTCAGCGCATCCAGGGGGAACCGGGGCCGTCTTTATCTCATGCCAGTTCCGTCAGCTGTTTCACAAAATGTCCCACAATCGTGGTCTCTGTGTTCCTCCCAACAGGCCCCTCCGTGGCTGCTGCTCCATCCAGAGCCCTGGTGTCTTATACCCTCTGTTCCCCACATCCGAGCCAGCTCCTTCTCGGGGGAACCCTCCCCTCCACCCCCATCCCTACCCACCTCTCAGCCGTGTGTCTAAAATTCTCTTCACAGTTTTGGTATAAATCCTCATCCAAGACCATTTTGGAAACCTTTTTAACAGCCTGAAAAGTGTGATAGTGTCATTGGTTGGAGTGCCGTCCCAATATGCCAAGGTTGCGGGTTCGAGCTCCGATCAGGGGCACATACAAGAAGCAACCAACAGCCCGGCCGGCGTGGCTTAGTGGTTGAGTGTCTACCTATGACGCTCAACCTATGAACCAGGGGGTCACTGGTTCTATTCCCAGTCAGGGCATATGCCCCGGTTGCAGGCTCGATCCCTGGTGCAGGGCGTGCAGGAGGCAGCTGATCGATGATTCTCTCTCATCACTGATGTTTCTACCTCTCTCTCCCTCTCCTTTCCTCTCTGAAACCAATAAAAAAATATTTTTAAAAAAGAATCAGCCGTAGCTGGTCTGGCTCAGTGGATAGAGCGTCAGCCTGTGGACTGAAGGGTCCCAGGTTTGATTTTGGTCAAGGGCACGTACCCGGGTTGCAGGCTCGATCCCTGGTGCAGGGCGTGCAGGAGGCAGCTGATCGATGATTCTCTCTCATCACTGATGTTTCTCTCTCTCTCTCCCTCTCCTTTTCTCTCTGAAATCAATAAAAATATATATACATTTTAAAAAAAGAATCAACCAATGAATGCATAAATGAGGGAAACAACAAATTGATGTCTCTCTCTCCCCCTCACCCCCTCCTCTAAAATAGATAAAAATTAAAACTAAACACAAAAGGAAACTGTGACACATGGCTCTGTACTATTGGCCATGAAGCCAGGAAGCTCAGGGCCACAGTCATGGGTCCGTCGCAGTGACTGTCTCTCCCTCCCTCCCTCCCCGCTGTCTGCCGCCGCCGCTGCCATCTCCCCCTCTCCTCTCTGCCTTCTCATCCCTCAGTCCTGCCTTTGTATCATCGGCAAAGAATTTTTATGCCTCTACCTCCAGATCCTTCCCGGAAAGAAACGTTAACTGGTAAAACCTGACAGATATGCATGAATAGATTGCACGCGTGTGAAGGCATCCTGGGGAGCCTCAAATAAATTCTGCATGTGTGCAAATGAATTAGGCAGGCCCATCAATAAATTATGCAAATATAGCCTGCAGTCTCCGGGACTGTGGGAAATAAATTAGGCAGATGTTTTAAGCCAGTGGTTCTCAGCCTTCCTAATGCTGCGACCCTTTAATACAGTTCCTCATGTTGTGGTGACCCCCAATTTCATTGTTACAAATTGAACATAATTAAAGCATAGTGATTCATCACAAAAAACAATATGTCATTATATATGTGTTTTCCGATGGTCTTAGGCGACCCCTGTGAAAGGGTCGTTCGACCCCCCAAAGGGGTCGCGACCCACAGGTTGAGAACCGCCGTTTTAAACGCAGGCTAGACAAGATGCCGGCTAAGACACTGGACAAACGAGAGGCAGATGAGCATGTGAATGTGGGTGTAAATTATGCAGCTCGGTCTCAATTTTGCCTCACTATTGGAATAAATTATGCAAAGCGGGCTTTGCTGCGGGCTGGGCTTCTACCTGTGCTGGTGTGAGTATAAATTACAGTCAAGTGGCATAAATGATCCGAACATCAGCAATCACTGGGGAATGGGGAATGGAGGGTGCAAACCACGACAGCCTGCCCGGGGAATTCAGAGCTAGAGGCGGCAGATGTGGGCATGTATCTGTGCTTGTCCACGGATAAGTTATGCAAATTGCACCCGTTGCCCAAAGCAATTAGCATCGTCAGGAAACACAAGGCTGGCTTATGCGACCGGAGCATGACTTGTGCACAGGGGGCGTGTCTTCTGGAAAAAGGAGAAATAAATAATGCAAAGGACAGGGCGAGGAGGAGAACGTAAGCACACCTAGCAAATAGCTGGCTACCGGAACGGCAGGATGCATTACACAGACCACAAGCATCCGTAGCACACGTGGCTCCCTTGTGAGTGTTAAAAGGTGGGGCTTTCTGGGTGGGAATATTGCCAATGGCACACCCCCCCACCCTCAGCAGAGGAGCCCTTTCCAGGGCCTGGAGCACCATCTAGACACGGCTTGGGAGCACCCTCGGGACTCCAGCCCCACTTGCCCTCCCTCTCAGCCGGAAGCTCTTGCTCAGGGCGTGACCGGGCGCCCTCTGGGGTCTGAGCATGCATTTGTGCCGGCACATGAACCAGCCCCCCAAGCCCAGGGCGCCCCCCCTCTGGATTTTGCAGACATGCATGCACTGAGGCGGTGTCCAGGGGGCTGTGCCTACCTGGACCACCCCTGGGGAAAAGACGGCCAGGATGAGGTACAGCCAGACATAGGCGAAGATACTCCAAGAGGCCGTGACAAAGAAGACTCTCAGATGCTTGATCTTGCGGCTCTCGCCGGCCGGGATGACGTACACGCACACGGCAATGACCACAAACATGTTGAAGGCCGCGCTGCCCACGATGGTGCCCGGGCCCAGCTCGCCCGCCTGGAAGTTGTGGCCGCAGACCTCGATGACCGACAGCAGGATCTCGGGCGCCGAGGAGCCCAGGGCCATGAGCGTGAGGTTGGACACGGTCTCGTTCCAGATGCGGACGGTGCCCACGCTGGTCTCGCCGTTGGCCTTGGTGATGGTGATCTCCTTCTCCTTCGACGTGATGACCTCGATGGAGGCCATGAAGCGGTCGGCGATGATGGACACGCCCAGGAACATGTAGACCATGGCCACAAAGTAGACCACGGCCCGCGCCGCCTTGTCGCCCAGCGAGGGGTCGTCGGGCTCCCAGACGGGCAGCAGGACCCCCGGCTGGCAGCGGTTGGAACCCTGGCAGACCTCTGTGCTGGTGTCGCTGTCATTGGTGGGGGAAGGTGGCAGAGAGGGGGTCGGGGTAGCTGCCCCCGAGCAGGGGGGAGCCCCCAGGAGGAGCGCAAATCCCACCAAGGCCAGGGGAGCCATGGAGGGTGGCGGGGTCCTGCGGGGGAGGAGAGGGAAGTTTGGGTGAGAGGAGGGCACCCCTCCCGGACACACAGGAGTCAAGGCTTGTTGGGGATGGAGAAGGAGAGGGAGGCTGAGGACCAACACAGGGAGGACGGAGACCGAGGGAGGTAGACAGAGACAAAGGGAGAAAGACCCAGAAAGATAAAGACAGACGCATAGCAGATGGGAGTGTAAATTGGTCTAACCCAGGGGTGGGCAAACTTTTTGACTCGAGGGCCACAATGGGTTCTTAAACTGGACCGGAGGGCCGGAACAAAAGCATGGATGGAGTGTTTGTGTGAACTAATATAAATTCAAAGTAAACATCATTACATAAAAGGGTACGGTCTTTTTTTTCAATAGTTTTATTCATTTCAAACGGGCCGGATCCGGCCCACGGGCCGTAGTTTGCCCACGGTTGGTCTAACCACTCCGGGAAACCATAGCTGAACAATGTGCATGCTACGACTCAGCAATTCCGCTCCCAGGCGTTACCCAGGAGAAACAGGTCATGTGTCCACCAATAGACTAGACACATACAAGAGTGTTTAAATATACATCCTATATAATAAAAGCCTAATATGCTAAGTGTCTGGTCGTCCAGTCAGCCGTTCAACCAATCAAAGCGTAATATGCTAATGATATGCTAAGGCCACTCAACCACTCGCTATGACATGCACTGACCACCAGGGGGCAGACAGTCGACCAGTCGACGAGTTGCTATGATGCGCACTGACCACCAGGGGGTAGATGCTCAATGCAGGAGCTGCCCCTTGGTGGTCAGTTTGCTCCCATAGGGGAAGCACAGCTCAGCTAGAAGCTGGGCTCACAGGAGTGGGCCTAAGCCATCAGTCAGATATCCCCTGAGGGCTCCTGGACTGTGAGAGGGCACAGGTTGGGCTGAGGGACACCCCCCCACCCCTGCTCAGTGCACAAATTTTGTGCACTGGGCCTCTAGTATATATATTAAATTGATTTCAGAGAGAGGAAGGGAGAGGGAGAGAGAGAGAAAAACATCAATGATGACAGAGAATCATTGATCAGCTGCCTCCTGCACACCCCACACTGGGGATTGAGCCTGCAACCCAGACATGTGCCCTGACCAGGAATCAAACCAAGACCTCCTGGTTCACAGGTCAATGCTCAACCACTGAGCCACTCTGGCTGGACTACAAGAGTGTTCATAGCAACTTTACTTCTAATAGCTGCCAGTTTGAAACTACCCAGATGCCTGTCAGCAGTAACATGGAGAAGTATCATGTGGCCACACCGAGGAATATTACACAGCACTGAAAAGGGAGTGGGCTACCGATACACCCAACAACATAGATGGGTCCCACAGACACACAATGCATGGATGAAGCCAGGCACAAAAAACACAGACTGAATAATTCAGTGGGTGAGGCGAAGGGCTGGAGGCGATTCATTAGGTCAACGGTTCTCAACCTGTGGGTCGCGACCCCTTGGGCGGTCGAACGACCCTTTCACAGGGGTCGCCTAAGACCATCCTGCATATCAGATATTGACATGACGATTCATCACAGTAGCAACATGACAGTGATGAAGTAGCAACGAAAATGATTTTATGGTTGGGTCACAACATGAGGAACTGTATTGAAAGGGCCAGAAGGTTGAGAACCACTGCATTAGGTGATTCTGATGTTTCCCAACTTGGCCTTCAGTGCGCTCATGCTTGGAATCTGGGCTGCAGGGGATGCTGGGTGTCTGTCTGTCTCAGGTGGGGTTGAGAAGGGGCCTCTGGAGGGCCTGTCACACACACACACCCCCACCTGGTGGCAGGTGTCTCTCTCCAGTACCCCAGACTCTGCGAGGTGCACAATTCCTTAGCAGCCGTGACATATGAACCGTTTTGGAGGTGTTGTCCTGTCTGTGGGTGTGGGGTGTCTACTATTTCAACACCTCTCTTCCTGCGTCTGGTCCTGGGTTTGAGTGGCTGTGTCTGTCTGTCCAGGTTTCTTTTAAAAATGCAAGTCAGTGCACATCTCCCCGCTGCTCAGAACCCTGCGTGGCTCCCTCCTCACTCGGTGCACCAGCGTCCTCTGCTCTGCCCCCCTCACAGGGTCTCGCACAGTCTGGCCCCCATCCCTCCTCTGGCCTCATCCCCTCCTTCCCCTGCTCACTCGGCCCACCGCCTCCTCGCCGGCCCCGACACCGACACCGGGGACACGTGCCGGGCTCAGAGGCCGCGCTCCTGCTGTTCCCTTTTCCTCCGGCTCTCCTCCACATCCCCCCTCTCTCTCCTCGAGGAGTCCGCCCCGATGCCCTCTTCTCTGAACATCTTACAACGCACCAGCCCCCTTGGGGGGAGTCCCCAGCCGCTTCCCAGATGAGAGGACCAAGCTCAGAGAGGGTCAGTAACTGGCCTGAAGTCCCCCAGCAGCAACCCTGGGGCTCCCCGTCCTCGTTTCTCTTTCCAAGAGTGGCCCTGGCTTCCCGCGGCTCTGCCCCACCCCTGCGTTGCCATGGTAACCCAGCAACCCCTCGAAAAGGAACTGAGAGAGGAAGGGAGGGGTCCTGCTAGGCTCCACCAGCCCCGACCCCTCTCCGGCCACCAGCCTCTCTTCTCCCAGCACCTGCCACTTTTGTCTGAAGCAAGTTCTCCGAGTCTAGCCCACAGCCTGCTCCCAGCACGCCCACCTCCTCACGCACGCACTCCGGGGCGGGCGGGGAGCTGGCTCCTCCTGGAGAGGGAGGCAGAGTGTTGGCAGAACCTCCCTGAGAAGGAGTGTGTGTGTGTGTGTGTGTGTGTGTGTGTGTGTGTGTGTGGGCGGGAGAGAGGGGTGACTCTTAAAGGGCCACCGCACAATTAGCCCCCACCGGCAAGTCCCCTAATGATATGTCTAATTAGCAGCCCCCTAATTAGCAACGACTTAGGCATAATTACAAACCCACCAGGATCCAAAGCAAAGACTCGCGCTCTTCTCCCTCCCTCCTCCTCGGCTTTCAGGAGGAACCGGGGCCACCTGGGAGCCCAGCCTTCCTCTGAAGGATCTCCCTCCCTCTCTGTGGCAGGGCCATGGCCTGCGACCCTCCCTCAAGTCTGACCACCTGTCCCACCCCCGGTCGCCAGGGGGGAGGGCCAGGGCCGCCCAGGGCTGCTGCGCCTGCTCCCCTTGCCCTCGGAGCAAGCTGGTTGCCTGCCTTTCCCTCAGAAACCTGGTTTCCTCTCACGGAGGCCTCGGGGGAGGAGAGAAAGCACAAGATAAATATTTGTGAAATGAACAGCCGCGAGATCTGCGCCCTGCGGCGGGGACAGCTGAGCTCCCCTCGTCTGCCTCTGCCTCTCTGTCCATCAGCGGAACTGAAACCTAATCTGGGCTGAGCATCCAGGGGCCACAGGATCAGGTGGAGGCCAGGGAGGGAGCCGGGAGGGCAGATGGCCGGCCCCATCTCCGGAGCCATCTCTCTCCTCTCTCTGGTGGGCCGGCGGCCAGCTGGGTCAGTGTGAGCACCCCGCTTCTGCCTCCCACGCCTCCTGGGACCTCAGCGACCTCCCCCGCAGAGTGGGGCTGCCAGCCTGAGGGGGGCCAGTCTGGCGTGAGGGAAGGTGGGGCCTCTTCCCTCAGGCCCCTCACACTGGGGAGGGCAGCAGTGGTTCCTGACTGTGCTTGTGGGGGGCAGGGGGTGCCCGCCACCCCTCGCACAGATGTGCAAGGTGGGGACCCAGGCTTCGAAACGTGCACATTTACTGCTGCAGGGTGAGCCAGGTGTCAGCCTGGGGATCACACACATGTGCGCGCACACACACACACAGGGTGAGCCAGGTGTCAGCCTGGGGATCACACACATGTGAGCACACACACACACACACACACACACACACACACACGGTGAGCCAGGTGTCAGCCTGGGGATCACACACATGTGAGCGCGCACACACACACACACACACACACAGGGTGAGCCAGGTGTCAGCCTGGGGATCACACACATGTGCGCGCACACACACACACAGGGTGAGCCAGGTGTCAGCCTGGGGATCACACACATGTGAGCACACACACACACACACACACACACACGGTGAGCCAGGTGTCAGCCTGGGGATCACACACATGTGAGCACACACACACACACACACACACAGGGTGAGCCAGGTGTCAGCCTGGGGATCACACACATGTGAGCAAACACACACACACACACACAGGGTGAGCCAGGTGTCAGCCTGGGGATCACACACATGTGCGCACACACACACACACACACCCAGGGTGAGCCATGCAATGTCCCAGCCCAGCCTGGGATCACACACACATGTGCACACACACCCAGGCACACACTTGGTGAGCCATGGGACGTTTCAGCCTGGGGATCACACACATGTTCATGCGCGCGCGCACACACACACACACACACACACACACACACACACACACGGGGAGCATGCGATGTCCCAGCCTGGGGATCACACACACAGTGCTGGTGGGTGAGCTGGAGCCCAGGAGGGGAGAGGCTTGGCCGAGTCACACAGCCTCAAGTCGGGGGCAGAGCAGAGATGGAAACTCATCTCGCGGGACTCCTGACCCGGTGCTCTTTTAGCCCAGCCGGAGCCACGTGGCACCTGGAGACTCACCCCTCTCCCTTGCCGCTCACTCCAGCCCACGTCCTCTGGGGCCCCTTCCCTCCAGGAAAGAGGGTGCCCTGGCCGGCCGGGGCCTCTAGCCTCAGAAGGGCCCTCCCGGACCCACCAGGGGCGGTGGAGGAGCCTCTGAGCTCGGTCCCCACGAACCGCGGAGAGACCGTCCGAGGCCGGCACACCATGAGCGGACGGAGGGGAGGCTGCAGGAGGGGCTGGCGGGCCTGACCCAGGACCTAGCGCTGTTCTGGGATTAGAAAGGTGCCCGAAAATTGTGAAAAGGCTGAACTGCGAAAGGACAAACAGCAAGACGTGTGGAGGTTAGACTGCAGGCAGGACTGGCCGTCCGTGCGAAGAGGAAGGGGGACGTTGGGCAGAAGGGCTGGTTCCGTCTGCTCTGCACAGGGCGCAGGTCAGGGCGCAGGTCAGGGCACAGGTCAGACGGACTGGCCTCAGAGCCAGAACCAAGGCGGGGGAGAAGGAGCTCTACAGGGGAGGGGCGGGGAGGGCGGGGAGGACGGGAGGGACCGGGCTGAGGAAGGGAGCGGAGTTCGGGGGACTCCTCGCCTTCTGGGGGAGCCCACTCCGCAGGGCGTATCTTCTTCCTCCAGGTCTCCCCCTGCCAGGGGCGGGGCCAAGGTGTGTAGGAGAGCGGGCGGGCCGCCGGGGGGAGGAGGGAGGGAGACAGGCAGACAGACGCCCGGACAGATGGAGAGGCGAGAGGGGAAGGGGCAGCAGGAAGGGGGAGACGCGGGGCCAGCGGAGACGGAGACGGACGGGGAGAGCGGAGACGGGAAGCGCAGATGGCGAGGGGGCCCGGAGGGGAGCGGCGGGCTTCTGTAGAGGCGGCGCGGACCGGGCACAGCGGGATCGCAGGGCAGCGCGAGCCTGACACCGGGATGCAGGGACCGACTCGCCGGACAGAGACCCCCAGGGGTGCAGGCAGGAGAGGACACCAGACACAGGAAGTCGGGGGCGGGGAGAGAAGAGGGGCGGGTGTTCTCTCGCCCCTCGGTGCCCAGGAGGCACCCCCTCCCCAGCCCCCAGCCCGCCATACTCCCCGGAAGGCGGGGGTGGGGGGCGCTGAGGATGTTGGCTGCTGGCGGCGCCCCCGCCCCTTGGGAAGGCCTGGGTACCCCCCCCCCGGAATATGCAGCCCCCCAGCCGCCATCGACGAGTTCGGGGAAAAGCGGCTCCCGGCTCCACAGACGCCCTCACCCCCCCACCCCCCGCCCAAACCAGGCTGGGGAACTCTGTCCTCCCCGACACCCCCACTAACTGGGGATCTCTTACCTGCAGCCACAGCCTGGGCAGGGTCCCCCCAGCCCTGGGTTGGCAGTGGTGGGCGAGTCTGCCCGACAGAGAGAGAGAAGAGGGAGAGGGAGAGAGAGAGGAGCTGGAGACTGAGGGAGAGCCAGGGAGAGGGGAGGGAGAGGGGATCGAGGGAGGAGAGAAGGAGGGGGGAGGGACGCGGGGGAGGGGCGGCTGGAGAGGGAGGGAGGAGGAGCGCTGGGGAGGGGAGGAGGGAGAGGCGGGGAGAGGGGAGGCGGCGAGGCGGGGGCGGCCCGGGGCGGGGCCTGGCGAGGGGCGGGGCGGGAGGAGGCCGCCCGCGCCTCCCACCTCCCCCCGGGTTCAGCACCACAGGCAGGGACAGCGGCGGAGGGCGCTCTTCCCATGTTTTGGGGGGGGACCTGGAGGGGTCGTTCAGAGGCACCCTCCGCCCCCATCCCCAACACACATACCGCCTCTGCTCCATATAAGGGCCAAAGACGCAAAAAATAGCTACAAATAGTTGCCGGCTCCCAGGACTGGGGGGAGGACAGGAATGTTTAGCCACTCAGATCCAAACTCCTGCCAGCGGAAACCACCACAAAGGCGCCCTTAATAATAATAGCAGCAGCTGCCACTCACGCCGCCCTCGGCACGTGCAGGTGCCACGAACACTTCTTGTAAGCGCTTGACACATGCTGATGGGGCTAACCCGCCCACCAACCCTGCGAGGCGGACGCTGTTACAGATGGGGAAACTGAGGCACAGGGCGGTGAAGCGTGGCTTCAGGCTCTACCCCCCGCGCCGCTACACCACACGCTGTCCCGGACCACGGACCCGGCGGGAAGCCAGGAAGTGAGGTGCGGAGGGCCCGGTGGCCCAGGCCCACTCCTGAGCCCTGGAGTGGACACACCCACACACGCCCCTCTCCAGGGTGTGGCCCTGCTCAGACCACACCATCACTAACCCCCTCCCGGAGCGCCCCCAGGGTCCCCGCCCGCCCGGCATGGGGGTGACGGCACAGGTGGGAGACACCCCCTGCCAATTCCCATACTTGGGCCTGGGTTCTGGGGGATGAGAAGCCAGGCTCACCAAGAAATGGCGGGCTACCTCGTCAAGACGCCCGCGGAGAGCTGGCGGCTGGGCCTTCGCTGTCAGTGCGTGTGTCACACCGACGGTGGGAGGCCGATGGCCACAGGCCCTCCTCGGGGAGCAGGATCGCACCCACCTCTGCCCCGAGGAAAGAGCCCACCCGCCCACCAGCCTGGTCCTGCTCGGAGTCACCCCCCAGCCTCCTGGCCCCTGGTGGGGGAGGGCAGACCTTCGTGTCACCCGGCGCTCCACTGGTCAGCGAGGGAGGCCTGGTCACCCCGGCCCTCCACGGGTCAGGGAGGGGGGCCCGAGTCCTCCTGGTGCCAGAGAAGGGGCAGGTCCCATGGCCACAGGCTGCGATCAGCCTTGTCCCCAGCCCCGGGGGCTTTCCATTTAGGACTGACCTCGTCCACCCTAGCATGGTGTATCCCGAGTCCCGCCCCAGCATTCCCGGGGGATCTAACGCAATTACTTCCTGCTGGGGTCTCACCTTGGCCCTTGGGGTCCAACCTCAGCATTACCCACAGGGTCGAGCCTCAGACCCTCCCTGCAGCTGGACAGCTCCCCGCAGTGTCCTTCACACCCTTTCCTCTCCTTCGAGCTCCATCGCCTCGCTTCCCCACTGGTTCTAGTCTCAGGTCCAGAGCTCTCCACGGGGGTCTCACCCGTCCTCCCTGCAGGTCCAACCCCAGCTTAATATTCTGTGCACACCAACCAATATATTCTTTGCTGATCTGACACACAAACACAAAAAGGTGTAATTTTTATTTGTTCACACCAAACGGCCGTTGCTGTGTTGGCCATTGTCATTTAAGAAATATACTTTTAAAATAGATTTCAGAGACAGAGAGGGAGAAAAACAGCAATGATGAGACATCAACCATGGATCAGCTGCCTCCTGCACGCCCCCTACGGGGGATCGAGCCACACTCAGGCATGTGCCCTGACCCAGAATCCAGCTGGCGACCTCTTGGTCCACAGGCTGGTGCTCAACCACTGAGCCACACTGGCCATGCGGCTGCTGTCATTTTTTTATTTGACAATCTAAGGGGAAGAGGTCCGTGCCCTGACTAAACAGTCAGGTACTGCATGCTTTAACACTTCTCGCGGCACCGGCTGAAAACGGCTGCCCTGTAGTCTGGTCTTTTCCACAGCGGTTTAACCTCAGCCTTTCGGCGAGGGCCCAGCCTCATTTCTCTCCTCCGAGGTCTACACTGCGGCCTCTTCTCAGTCCTGCCTCTGGTCTATCCCTGGATCCTCTCTCCCATGTCCCTCCCTCCGTTCTTCTGGGAGAGTCCAGCCCAGCACCTGGGGCCAGGCTCTCAGGACTCGCTTGCTGAACAAAAGAATAAAGACAACGGGAAGTCCAGCTCCTCGGGACATAAAACAATCGGTGGCTGGCCAGTTCTCACCTGGAGTGGAAGGGGGGCAGGGTAAGCGATTTTCAATGGGAACACTGAGGCACAGAGGAGTGCACTAGGTGAGGTCGCAGGGCGCCCTGGGACAGAGCCAGGGCAAGAGCTCACAGTCCCAGCACCTGGGGGCTGGCCAGGCATGCCCTCCTTTAGGACTCTTCCCTCCCCCCCCGACCCCCCGCCTCAGGAAGGGCTGGAGGTGAGCACCCCAATGGGGGGCAGTGGGTGGGTGCTCAGGAGGCCGACGTCCCAGCAGGCCCCGGGCCCACGCTGTCCCCCAGCACTTGTGACCGACGTCTCCTCTGCTCCACTTGGTGCCGAAGCCGCGTCAGGACCAGCTCCGAGGCCTGAATCAGACTGTGCTGGGGGAGCAAGAGAAAGGGCGGGGCTGAGAGAGCTGAGGGGTGCAGGTCAGACCACCCCAAAGGCCTGGAGCCCAGCCATGGCGGGGGCCAGAGAGCAAACCAGTGTGCAGGTGGGACAGGTATCTGTCAGGCGAAGGTTAGACCCAGGGGGCAGCCTTCAGTGAATTTCCAGTGGGAGGAACCAAGTCTGGGCCCAACTGTTGGTCTGAGGTTAGAAGGTGATGAAAGAGATGGGATGGATCAAGATGTGAGAGAGACTGCGTTCTATGGGAGGGAGGTCTGACCCTGGAGAGGCCGAGGTGAGGCCACAGGCAGAGACACAGGTGACACGCTGGAGGAAAGGAGAGGCCGACAGGACAGAGGAGGGCAAAGCAAAGCAGACAAGAGAGGAATGTCCCACATGGGGAGGGGGGAGGGTGGAGCTAGATGGCTGGGGAGTCTGAGGTGGGACCCTCATAGAAGGGACAGAGATCTCAGTGAAATGGCTCGAAACGGATCGCAGTGCGGGTGACGGGAGGGTCAGAGCCCAGCGAAGGGCAGTCCTGCCGCCACGGTCACACCACAGGTGTTTCCCCTGTGGCCTAACCTTAGAGCTTTCCAATGAGATGAACCTATGCCAGGGGTGGGCAAACTTTTTGACTCGAGGGCCACATGGGTTCTTAAACTGGACCGGAGGGCCGGAACAAAAGCATGGATGGAGTGTTTGTGTGAACTAATATAAATTCAAAGTAAACATCATTACATAAAAGGGTACGGTCTTTTTTTTTTTTTTAGTTTTATTCATTTCAAATGGGCCGGATCCGGCCCGCGGGCTGTAGTTTGCCCACGGCTGACCTATGCCCTTTCCATTTAAAAAATAAAATTATACACACACACATCTCCTATATAATAAAACCCTAATATGTAAATTGACTGAACAGTGGAACGACCGGTTGCTATGACATGCACTGACCACCAGGGGGCAGACCCTCAAACCAGGAGCTGCCTTCTGGTGGTCAGAAGCCAGGCTGACAGCTGGCAAGTACAGCAGCAGTGGCAGGAGCCTCTCCCGCCTCCGCAGCAGGGCTAAGGACCCCTTGGGGGATGCCAGCAAGTGGACATCCCCCGAGGTGTCCTGGACTGCCAGAGGGATGTCTGACTGCCAGCTTAGGCCCGATCCCCTGGGGAGCAGGCCTAAGCCAGCAAGTGGACATCCCCTGAGGGGTCCCAGACTGCGAGAGGGCACAGGCTGGGCTGTGCACCAGGCCTCTAGTATTTTATAAAGAGAAAGAGAGACAGAGACATTGATTTGTTGTTCCACTTATTTTTGCACTTTTGGCTGATGTGCCCTGACTGGGGAGCAAACCCACAACCTCGGTGTACTGGGACAGCACCCTAACTAACGGAGCCACCCGGCCAGGGCCCTGTGCCCTTTCTGTGAGGCTCTAACCTCAGACCGCTCCGGAGCCTAACCTCATTCCGTTTTACTCGGGTCTAAACTCATCCACTGGTTCAACTCAGACCCTTCCCCTGGGGTCTACCCTGCATGGGTGCCCTGAGGTCTAACCTAGGCCGTTCCCCTGAGGGACAGACGCGAGGACAAGCCCAAGCAAGACTCAGAGGAGGCAGTAAGGTCAGACACAGTAGAGAGAACCCAGGCTGGACAACACGGGAAAGGATCCTGGAATCGGACCCGGTGGAAGGAGAAGCAAATACCACATTAGGAAACGCACACTCACCATGGCCTAAGGCAGCGGTTCTCAACCTGTGGGTCGCGGCCCCTTTGGGGGTCAAACGACCCTTTCACAGGGATCGCTTAAGACCATCGGAAAACACGTATGTAATTACATATTGTTTTTGTGATTAATCACTATGCTTTAATTATGTTCAATTTGTAACAATGAAAATACATCCTGCCTATCAGATATTTACATGACGATTCATAACAGTAGCAACATTACAGTTATGAAGTAGCAACGAAAATAATTTTATGGTTGGGGGTCCCCACAACATGAGGAACTGTATTAAAGGGTCGCGGCATTAGGAAGGTTGAGAACCACTAGCCTAAGGGGTGGGGGCTGGGCCATGGGGAAAAGGTCAGAGGTCAGACTATGTTAGCAGGAAGTGAAACTGCAATGGAGGGTCCCGGGTTGGACCCTGGACCACTGGAATGGCAGGATGAGACTGTGACAGGGGAAACGGCAGTCAGGCTGCTTGGGAAGGTCAGAGGTCAAAGTACAGCAGAAAGCTGGACAGTGGGCCACAGCCCTCAGGCTTGACCACAACAGAAAGTTGGGAGGTTGGACTAAGGAAGGGCTCGAGGTGGCCAGAGCGGAAAGCTGGGGACTGGCTGCGGAAGAAGGGCTGGAGGCCGCACTGTGGGCAGGGAGGGAAGTGGGGCTCCGGGGCCGGAAGCTCAGCAGCTGCTGCTGGGAGACCACGGCCAGAGTGAGGCTGGTCACGCGCACAACAGGGGTGGCTGCAGTGAGGAAGGCACAGTCATGGGGGCAAAGGGAAGGATGGAGGTCAGATCACAGGGGCAGGTCTGGGCCAGGCCACAGGGAAGAGACAAGGTGACAAAGCATGAGGAATGAAGGACAAAAGTCAGGGAGGCTGAGGGGCACTGGGGGGACAGATGCTGTGTCAGAATCCCCTTCACGGGTGTGGGGGTGGGGGGTGTGTGCTTCCCCAGCTGTGAGTGCTCCCTCCAGCTGTGAGTGCTCCCTCCAGCTGTGAGTGCTCCCCTAGCTGTGACTGCTCCCCCAGCTGCGAGCGCTCCCCCAGCTGCGAGCGCTCCCCCTAGCTGCGAGCGCTCCCCCTAGCTGTGAGCACTCCCCCAGCTGCGAGCGCTCCCCCTAGCTGCGAGTGCTCCCCCCAGCTGCGAGCGCTCCCCTAGCTGTGAGTGCTCCCCCAGCTGCGAGCGCTCCCCCTAGCTGTGAGCGCTCCCCCAGCTGCAAGCGCTCCCCCTAGCTGCGAGTGCTCCCCCCAGCTGCGAGCGCTCCCCTAGCTGTGAGTGCTCCCACAGCTGTGAATGCTCCCTGCCAGCTGTGAGTGCTCCCAGCTGTCCCTTCTCCTGGGGGCTCTCCTGAGTCAACAGGAACCACCTCCCAGAAAAAGATTACTCCCACCCCCCAGAGGGGGCCTGCAGCCAATCTACTTGCCTGAAGGTGAGGGAATCTACCCCCTCTTCCTCCCCCCACACACATTCCCTGTGAACATGCCCTCAATCAAGCAGGTGTACAAAAACCCCAACTCAGGCTCCACGTCCAGGGACCCAACCCGCGGAGCCCGCTACCTGCAGGATGTGCACGCCCTTCAGGGAGACCACGGCGAGCTCCCGCAGCCCGTCCCCGGTCAGGTCCACGTGGGCCATGGCCAGCAGCGGGCTGGGGAAGCTCCTCTGCCACAGCAGGCGGAATCCGCGCTCGGCCTCGGGGAGCCCCGACTCAGGGCCGCAGTACTTGTAACAGAGCAGCTCCTGCAGGGGCGAGGGGCTGGGTTACCCAGGGCGGAGGGGACAGTGGAGAGCAGGGCGGGTGTCAGCCCTTCCCTCAGGTCCTACCTGCCCATAGGTGGCCACCAGGACTTCCGGTTGCCCGTCCAAATCCACATCGGTGACCAGACCACAGAGGACGCTGTCAAACTGGTCACTGCCAGGCAACAGAAGCTGGTCCTCCAGCCCCCGGCTCAGCAGGTCCCTGAGGGTCCCCAGCGCAGGGGCAGGCTGAGGTCAGATCGCAGCGCCCACCACCCTTAGTGCCAGACCCTGGGCCAGGGCCCACACAGCTCCACGTCGAAGGTCTGCACACCCTCCTGAAGCCTGGACACCCCTCTGATCTCCCTCATCTCCAACCTGATCATTTTCCTCTCCACCAAGGGGAGCTCAAATCCCTTACTCCGACTGCCCACCGGCTACTCCCCCATCTGGAGCCCCACACCTCCCCCTGGAGGTGGGACCACCTGACTCCCAAATGGAAACTGACATGGGCCCCTGGGGGATCTAGACACCCACACTGTCCGCATGGAGCCTGGAGAGCTTGGTCCCCATTGGGGCCTCCTCACTGCCCACCAGGTGTGCCACGGCTGCCTCGTGCTGGCTCACCAGAGGAAATGCTCACAAGCTTGGCAAGCCTGCTGGCATCATGTCAGTGGCCTGAACTCCCCCCTGGCGGGAGTATTTACACCATGGGAATCGGCACATGCTACAAATCAAGCTTTTCTCACACACGAAGGCGGTCGTTACACACCTGCCAGCAGGCTCTCTCCCCCTCCTCCAGGGAGAGCGGACAGCTCGTGCCCATCCAAGGCCTCCACGTACCCCTACAAGTTCCAGACTTAAACACTTGCACCCACTCCCTGGGCCATGAACACCTTTACCTGCCCAGCCCTGAGCCACCTCGCCCAGAGGGACTTTCTGCTGAGAAGGACAAGGTCAGACCACAGAGCAAAGGTCTGAGGTGAGACGGCACCCACGCCCCGGGCCCCTCACCGATACACCACAGCCGGCTCCAGCATGCTGGCCACGAGCACGCTGTACTCTTCCCGCTGCGGCCCGTCCCCGGTCTCTGGAGAAGGACATGAATGGGGGTAGGTCTGAGGGGACGGGCCCAGGGTCCTCCTCCGACCACCCTCCCCTCGGTGAGAGGAACAGAGGTTGGACCTCAGGAGAAAGACCTGAGGGTGTGCTGAGGGAGGGGCAGAGCTTAGAGGAGGAGAGAGTGGCCGAGGTCAGAGGCCAGGAGGACAGGTCTGGGGTTAGACCACGATTGCAGAAGAGGCAAAAGCTGGTGACAGCAGGGAGGTCCAAGGCGAGGCCACAGTAGGAATGACGGTGGGAGGACAAATAAACACCAGCCTGGGGGACAGATGGCAGCTGGCCGAGGTCAGGCCCAGGGAGACGGCAGCGAAGGGCAGACCCCGGTAGGAGGAGCAGAGCCACATGCAGGGGAGAGGCGAGACCTTGAGTGGTGAGATGGCGAGGCCTCAAGAAAGGCCGAGGCGGAGAGCACAGCGCGAGAGTGAGGACAGAGCAGGGAGCAGAGAGAGCCACAGCGCAGGGGTGAGGTCAGACCCCCAGCAAAAGGCAGAGGAGACCACAGGGGCGGGAGCTGGAAGGGAGACCTGAGGGCGTGGAGGGAGGGGAGGGACACACTGCAGCTCCGGGGGCAGGCGGGAGGGACCGAGAGAGGGACGAGGGCTGGACGCGGGAGCAGGGCACAGATATAGGTGCGGGGTCGCCGAGCCTGCAGAGTTGTCCCCCCATGTTCAGGGCTCACCCTCAGGGGCCGACAGGCTGAACACGATCACGCGGGAGATAGGGCCGTCCTGCAGGACCGTCCACGTCTGCAAAACCTCTGCGGGGAGGGGGCACTCAGGGTCCTGCCGCCGCCCTCAGCCCCCCATCCCCACCCCCCAGGCCCCGCCATCACCTCGACTCTGCTGGTCCACATGGGCCACGCGGACATAACCACTCTGACAGCCCAGGGCTGACAGTCGCCGGGATGTGCCGGGGAGGTTGTGGACGTCCAGCCAGAGGACACTGGAGGGGGAGCGGGCAGAGGGGCCGGAGGCCGTCACGGGGTCCCAGTCCCTCATTCCACCTCCCGACTCGGCCTGCCCTGTAGCCCTGGGACCCTCGCTGCTGCCACATTTCTCTGAGGTAATCCCCGCCACCCGACTTCTCTAGGGGTCCATTCCCACGACCCGGTTTCTCTGCGGCCACCTGCCCTGGTCCCGTCCGGCCGCTCTCCTACCTGCTGGTCAGGTTGGTGAGCTCTGGGAAGAGATTTTCCACGGGTTGTTCCTCAAACTGGTGCAGCCCCTCGTTCTGGGAGAACCAAGACCCAACCCCCGCTTGGATCAGTGGCCATCCCCTGACACGGCCAGCAGGGCTGTGCCTGCCACGCCTCCCCCTGCCTCACCTCCTTGTAGAGATGAATGGCCGGGTCATTCCCGCTCAGGAGAAACACGGTCTCCAGCTGATCCCCGACCTGGACCCTGGAAGCAGAGACATCTAGGACCCCCGTATGGCAGGGCCCGAGAGTGGCAGAGTCTGCAAAACCTCTGCCTGCAAGAACCCGAACGCTGCAGGATCCAGACACTGGACCCAGGGCCAGAACCTCCGGATGCAGAACTATAGAAAGTTAGCCTGCGAGAACCTCCCATTTCTAGAGCCCTTGTCTGCTAGAGTCTTCATTCCAGATGAGATTTAGAAATCCTATATAATAAAAGGCTAATATGCAAATTGTCCCTACTGGTGGGAGTTTGATTGACTGGGAGTTAGATGTGCGCTGACCACCAGGGGGCGGCGCAGAACACGATGGGCGTTGGCGATGCGGCAGTGGAGGCACTGCCGGCCCCAATGGGCCCCAACGAGAGCGGGACTGTGGCAGGATGGTGGAGCAGGTGAGCGAGCAGTGCCAGGCCAAGGCAGCAGGCAGCCAGGGGAAGGGAGGCCCTGGCCGGCAGCCGTGAGGGACCCTACCAGTGCACGAATTTCGTGCACTGGGCCTCTAGTGTAATATAAAGCTCTAGAGTGGGTTGCAGGAGCCCAGGACACTAGAATCTCTTTCTCTAGAACTAGTTCTGTTCTCTGTCTCCTTTGAATTACTAGGCCTTTAATAAACTGCCACCAAGGATATTCAGACACAGAATGGTAGAACATCCAGATCCTAGAATCCAGAAAATCAGTATCTAGAACTCTCACCTGCTAGAGCAGAGGCTGGCAAACTATGACCCCACAGGCCAAATCCAACCAACCATCTGTTTTTATAAATGAAGTTTTATTGAAGCACAGTCGTGTCCACTCATTTACATAGTCAATGGCTGCCTTCTTGCTATAACAGCAGACAAGTAGTTGTGACAGAGACGGTCTGGCTCTCAAAAGCTTAACGTTTACTGTATTTGCCACCTGGGCCTTTACAGAAAAAGTTTGCTAGTACCTGTGCCAGACCATTGGTGTTCTAGGATGGAATCCAGAGCTCTAGAATGGAATTCTTATACTGTGGGATTCTAGAACCCCAGAATTCTAGATGATCTGTAGGGTCGCTCCTTGAAATATGACAATGTTAGGACTTTATATCATGACAGAACCTCAGAATTATCAAACTATAGTACTTTCAGTTCCTGGAATCTCAGAGCTTGCAACTCTAGAAAATAGCATTTCTAGCTCTTGGAATATCCAAATCTAGAAACTGAGGACCCGAGAACCTGAGAATTCTAGATATCTAGAACACGGATGCTCAATGAACTCTGATGATCTAGTTTGGTGATAACAAAATGGTAGCCCATCAGCCATGCGTCTGGTCCACGAACACCTTAAACGCACGATGCTCTAAAAAAACAGAACTAGAATGTGACTGTCTAGGGGCAGGTTTGCAGTCTCCTTTGCTAAGCCCCTCCCCTGCAGGTACACCCGCACCCTGTTGTACCCCATCCCAGGCTTACTCACTCGGCATGGCACAGCTGGAAAGGAGTGAACCGGAGTTCCAGGTTCAGGCAGCTCTCTGCAGGGGGAACACAGGTAGGTGGGCACGAGGGACCTACAGGCGCCCTCCCCGCCCTCTCCCTCCCTCCAGGCCACACGTACGGGCAATGGAGTCGAGGTTGTACTCAGAGCCAGGCTCATAGTCACAGTAAATGTTAAGGAAGGGGCTGCCTTTGTCCCCTGAATCCTGTGGAAGGAAACTGGCCTCAGGGGAGAGTAGGGCTGGCAGGAGGGATTGGGGTCAGATTCCGTGGGATCCACATGTGTGTGGGGAGGAGGGAACGGGTAGGTGGAGGGGGCTCTGGGTACCTTGATGAACGTGATCCCCACGACCAGGCCCCGTTTTGGGGGCGACTTGTTGAAAGTGTCGATGGAGACAATCTCGGCATCCACTGGGAGGGGATAGTTCAAAGTTCAAGTTTCAGGCAATACCTCCAATCATAGTGACCCTTGACCTCTGACTCCATAACCTTTAACCACTGCAATGATCGTGATCTCTGAATCCTATTGAGTCCTGATCACCATCATCATGGGAGCAGAGATCCTGAATCCTAACCACTTCCAGGCTCCTATTATCCCTGCCCTCCGACCCCCTTCAATCACCATGGTCCCATTTTCCCATCATATGCGGCTCAGACAGACCCTCAGAAGCCTTCTCAACACCATCTTCCCGGCCCTCCGGCCCCACAGCGCCACGCACCGGGTATGTAATTGAACTGCAGCTCCTTGGCTACCGGCCGGATTTTCTGTCGGAGGTCTTGGTAGCGGAAGCCCAGCACCTTGCCTTTAAGGGTGGCGGCCAGCAGCTCCCCGCGCCCGCCCGCGCCGCCCGCCAGGCCGTACACGTTGCTTTGCGACGAGAAGCGCGTGAAGCTGTCCTCGCGCAGCGGGCAGGGCTCCGCGGCCACGGCCGCCTCCCCCATCGCGCGCCCCGGCCACTCACTCCCGTAGCCCCGCGCGGCCCGCCCTGCCCCACCCTACCCCACCCCACGCTCCCGAAGCGACCGGGACCTCCTCGGGTGCCCGTTCGTCGCGCAGACTGACGACGTCACAGCTGCGTCGCTGCCCTTTACCAAGATGGCCGCCAGGCCTCTCGGAGACTTGGCCCCAACGCGCCTGCGCGCTATGTGGACGGTAGATGACTCCCACAATAAAGCTTAATATATGTCAGGAACTGTTTGTTCTAAGCGCTTCCCATCTATCGATTTATTTAAAACCCACAAGCAGTCTGAGGCAGTTACTGTTCTTTATGCATGAAGGAACTGAGGCACACAGAGGTAAAAGGAAGACCACACACCTAATAAGAAGTAATATTATAACCCAAATAAGACCGCACCAATAGTTTGTTAATCACATCACTTTTAAAATGGTGAAATGGCCCGGCCTGTGTGGCTCAGTGGTGGAGCATCTACCTATGAACCAGGAGGTCGCGGTTCCATTCCGGTCAGGTACATGTCCGGGTTTCCAGCTAGATCCCCCGAGGGCCGTGCAGGAGGCAGCCCATCAGTGATTCTCTCTCCCTCTCCCCTCCACTCTGAAGTCAATAAAAATACATTTATGAAAGGAAGTGCCTGTTGCTTCAGCTAATCAATTGGCTCTCAGGAATAGCTTTGAATATTAGATGAGAGTCTCATCTATATCTAGACATCCTGCTACTCATCCCGGAATATCAATTCTAATTGAGAAACTGGCTGATTACTTTCAATTTAGCTTTGAATTTTTTCAAACGAACATCTTTATGGTTTCAAGTTGTTTCTAATTAAAACGTTGAAATATATATATATATATATATATATATATATATATATATATATATATATATATATATAAAATAAAATGGTGAAATGCATTCTTCTTACCCCAAAGAAAGAAAGGTCTAGCTATCTGTCCTGACAAACAACCTCCTCCTTTATTGAATGGCTTTGTGCCAGTCACGTTGGCTGGATTATCCCATTGAATCCTCACAACCATCCTATTGTTACCCAGCATTCACTTATTCAGCATTCGCTGGGCACTATGAGCCACACATCCTTCCCAAATTTACCTCGATAAGCTTGCAACAATCCTGCAGGGGTTTATTAGCCCACTTTATAGAGGATGAAATCGAGGCTCAGGGAGAGTAAGTCCCTTGACTGATAGGCTAGAAAGGAGTGGACAGGATGTTAACTAGGTGTTTCTAATGAAGGGGGACATAAGACATTTGGGGACGGGGGGGGGGGGGGGGGCTTGCAATCTGAGTCTGTGCCAGTAACCTGCCTTCTGACCACACTCTTGCTAGCCGATATTAACTCCATTGATGCCTGCCCTGTCTTGCAGAACCTGTTTCCCAGAATACTCCCATTTTACAGAGGGGCCATAAACAAAGAATGTAACAGCTTAGCTAGAGGAGAGGTCCCCGGCACCACCCAGACCAGGCATTTAGATACAATGTAACTTCCCCATTGTGACTGACTCAGGAGGGGCTGTGGAAGCCCCCACAAAGCCTGGTAGTTAGGAAACAGAGAAAACAAAGAAAGAATCCAAAGGGTATAAAGGGAAAGCCTCCATATTCACTCACTCAGGATTTGGAGAACCGACCCTGAGTCATTGTACTAGTGCATCTGAAAGTAAATGGGTTTATCCCGGGTCTCTGAGTACTCCCTGTGTATTTTTTCAGTCGCCTGGTAAATTCTGTAACACTAAATCCAGGGTCTTACGAGCTTCCTATTTTGTCCCTAGAATGACAGGACGGGCTTGGGGACTCTACACCTGTATAGTTTCCAGAGTTGGCCAACTTTCTTTCTTTTAAAAGAAATAATCATTCTTTTAAAAAATATATTTTTATTGATTTCAGAAAGGAAGGGAAAGGGAGAGAGGAACATCAATGATGAGAGAGAATCATGATCGGCTGCCTCCTGCACGCCCCACACTGGGGATCGAGCCTGCAACCCAGGCATGTGCCCTGACCGGGAATCAAACTGTGACCTCCTGGTTCATAGGGCCACGCTCAACCACTGAGCCACGCTGGCCGGGCTAGAGTTGGCCAACTTTCCTGTCACCTCCCTCCAGGCAGAAAGAATACACAGATTGCAAGATCCGAGATGGCAGTAACATCCCCAGCATGTGGACTACAAGGCCTGACAAAGCAAGCATTCAGTAAATGTGTTAAAAACCTACAAAGACGTGCCAGTCCTTTGCCAGACAGTTACATAAGAGACATAAAAGGAAGTTCTCAAAGGCAGGTTGGATGTGGAGGGGGAGTGTGTCAGTCCCAGATCTCTGCATCTGGGGATGATGAAAGCCTTCGAGGGCAGGGTCTGGCTCCATGGTGAAGTGCTGTGTCCCCAGGTGCTGGACTAGGGCAGACACAGTAGGTGCTTAGTCAATACTCGCTGAGCGACTAGCATGTGGGGTCTAGTTCTGCTGCTTCTGAAGGCTTTCTTCAGGCTTCTACCGCACGTGGTAACCTCTAAACGACACCGCTTAAGAACTGTTGAGCGAATGAATAAATGAAGTTCTAGTCTGGAAAGAATTGTCTTGTTTAGTGGTTTCCAACCCTACCTGCTCTTTTGAATTGCCTGTGGAACTTTCAGGAAATAAATAAACCCCAAAGGGTGGGGAACCAGAATTTTTCAGGGTGTGACCCTAGCTTAAATACTTTTTCTGATTTCCAGCACAGCCAGGGTTGAGAATGACTTTTTCAGTCACGAATGACAGAAATAGATTCTAAACCATTCTTCAGCCTGTGCTCATGGCAGACATCAGTAATCAATCCCAGGTCTCAGGAGTTGTCACTGAGCTTGAGGCAGCCAATATCAATCAATGGAGCTGTGAGAGGAGCAGAAGGGGCCAGAGGGGCAGGGCCGGGTGTCGCACAGGCCACTCTGATAAGAACCTCTCCTGCACTCCCTGCGGCTCTGGCTGGAGCACCTGTCTGAGGAGCTGCCCGGTGACACCGCCTGCCTCTGGCCGCCTCCAGCCGCCCCCATGAGGAGTGGAAGGAGGCACATGCACGGCAGACGTTCACTTGACTCGCAAGCCTGCACTGTGGAGTGTGGAGGTGGGTAGTCCTTGCCCACTCTTCCCAGGCAAAGGGATCCTGTCATCTCTCCCACTCCCCACACCTACTGGGTCCTGTACTCTGCCACCAAAGCCGCTCTCCCCCATCCCCATCCTGTGACACGTAGAACAGGTGCCACCGGGGCCTGCAGTGCTCCCCCTGGGCCTGTGGACGTGGGTGAGGCTGGGAGAGTCCGTGGGGTTCTTCCAACCCTTCTTACGTGACTGCTGCCCCCATCCTCCAGCTGCTCTGAGGGTGGCACTGCCAGCCATCTGCCCAGCTGAGGAAACCAGGGCTCACAGATGAAGACGGGGGGTCCCCAGGCTCCCAAGTCCACGGCTCCTCCCCAAACCCACCATCCCTGGGCCTCCCTCTCCGAGACCTCCGACCCAGCCGAGTCTCCAAAGCTGGCCTCCTCTCCCCAGTGTGATCAGAGACCAGTGGGGGCCAGGAGACTGGACTCTAGCACTGAAAGAGGGGGTCGCAGAGGTGAAGAGGAAGGAAGACTCATGCAAAAGTGTTGTTTTTTATTTTCTTTTGGGGGCCAGTTGCAGCTTCCCACCAACAAAACCTCAGAGCACAGTGGCAGGAGCAGATGTGGGGCGGGTGCAGGATGAGCCCCTGCTCCGGGGCCTGGGGTCTCTCCTGGGAGGCTGGGCTGCAGGAGGCTGGGAGGCTCCCGGCGCTGGGGGGAGGGGGAACTCCCCCCACAGCGGAGAGCCAACCTCAGCTGCTGCTGCATGTGCTCAGCGCTTGTCTGGGGGACAGAAGTGGGGAGACAGAAACCAACCTCACGCTCTGGCCCCAGCCGGTCAGGCGATGGAGGGTCAGATGCTGACCCCACCCCCTGGCAGCACCTACAGCTGATCGGTCTATGCCACAGACTCTGTGCTTCGGGGTGGAAAAGGGTCTCTTTGGGGCTTAAATAAATGGGCCGGGGAGGGACAAGGGGTGCGAGACAGAGGGTGACTGTGCAGCCAGCAGGCCGGCCTCCAGGGCCCCGAGGCATTGTGGCGCCTGCACTGTGGCCTGCGAGACTCCTGGGGGGAAGGGAGGGAAGGTCCCAGCCAGGTCTTGGGCCACCTCTCGGGGTTCACGCAGTGTTTGGAGGGGTCGCTGGGGAAAGCAGAGGGGCTGGAAGACAGGTGCCGGGGGCGGGGCTTAGCGCAGGTCCTCCTCGTCGCCCTGGATGGTCTTCTTGATGCGCAGCAGCATGGTGGTCAGCCACTGGTCCAGCCGGGAGATGGAGTCGAACTCCTTCACCTGTGGCACACCCGCAATGGTGACTATGGTGACAGGTGGCTAGTCCCACGCCTGGCCCTGGCTCCCTGCCTGTCCCAGCCCTGAAGCCAAAGGTCTCTGCTCCCAAGTTTCTCCAGATGTGTCCCTGCCAGCCGTGGCCTGAGGAGGAGCAAGGGAAGCTGCAGTCCCGGTGGTTCCCTTTCAGGATAATAATTAACTTTGTAGCTTAAGAAAGGCCCAGCTTCCTTGTTTTACGGATGGGAAACTGAGGCCTGGAGATGTGACCAGCCCTGTCCCGGGTGCCACAGGGAAGGGGGGGCCCGGGAACCCACACCCTTCGTTGCCCCTCTCCTTGAGGAGCTTTCACTGTCGGGGCAGGAGGGACCAGAGGTAGCTTGTCTGTCATCATAGGGGCCGAGAACCCGGAGGGGCAGGCGCTCAGCTGTCTGGATGACCAGATCAGGTCCTGAGCTGGACACACTGGGTTCCGGAACATTTAGAAGCAGCTGGGGCAGTTCTATGAGGAACTGGCTGCTGGAAGAATGGGCCCTCCAATGGCACCTCAGCTCCGCCTCCCTCCTACTCCCGCAAAGGGGGAGGGTGACGGCTCATTTCCTTCCCTCTCGGCTCCTGGGTCACCCACCGCAGCTGATGAGGTGGCCCCCAGCTGCTCACTCAGGGGGACTCCAGGGGCGCAGCCTTGG